GGAAAAAATAAAAATGCATGGTTTAGGCGCACCCTTCTCCAGCGCCTTGTGACATACGTGCCATACCATAGTTACCATACGTGATTCAAATACACCTGCGATCTCCAGTAACTGGGCCAAACTCTACTGTTTACAGTTATAATAATTACCGATTTTTAGCTGTATCAAGCTTTATATATATTTCTTTATGAAATTAAACTCTATATACATTTTTTGAATTGCGTAAGACTTTATATTAATTACAACTTTCAATTGAATTGTTTCATAACTTAAATGGTAATTCTGGCGCCTGTACGATAGTCAAATTGTCATTAGAGTCCCGCCCACAACACACATGGCCGTCTATTACATCCTGTTAAATTCACGAGCAATTGGCTGTGATAAATGAATATGTATTGATGATAAACAAATGAAATAATAACTGTAGAAATAATTTATCATGATCAGTTACTCACGGCTTAAATCCTGACTACCGGTAAAAAGCGAAACAATAATTCTAGTTTATTTTATACTATCCAAACAACTGACAATCAAACGATTGTGTCAATTGCCCCGCCCACTACACGCAGCATGACAATACCTAGATTGAGGCCATTTATATCTATCAGTAACATAAGACAATAGCATTTTTAATACCAATCAAAGAAACAATGATTTTGTGAACAACAAACAACTTCATAAATCATACGATGACAACTCACCGGTAGATAATTAACGATACCGGTAAATTATAACAATGGGCCAATCAGTGAATCGTCGTTGCATGAAAACTATCGGTAACTTGAAACGGCTAGATATATAAGTTACAGCAATGTATAGAAAAAAAACAACGAACCTTCCTCCAAACTTTTGAAAAATTATTTATTCAGAATGACTACGAGACGAACCGCTAAAGAGTGCGGTAATAGATAAAGCGAATAGATAGAGCGCCGCATGTTATCCACACATTGAGGAAGAATGGATTGACTGTCAATCATAGAGGCTGCCCACTTCCACCAGGATTGATATCGTAGACAAGAGAACAACTTCAATATATGTCAGTTTAACTGTAATCCCACCCTTCCCACCAATGACTTATATTGAGCCAATGAAAATGCTTGTATGAATGCATACCACGCCCTATTCGTCAACTTGACTGACAACACCACTGACCTTGAACGTGCACGTGCGAGGACTGCCGATAATGGCCAAGAGTATATGGAATAGCAGAAATATATGATGTAGAATTAGCAAGAAATATTAACGATACGTATGCTATTTTTTAAAACATCGTTAACGCTGAACGGCTATCAGCCGATGGTGTTTGCATTGCCGGTTATGACAAACACTATACTGTACACGGGATAGCCTAAAATGTCGACATCTTTTTTAATTTTTATGCACGAAAGAACAGAAATATGGGCAATAATTATTGACATATTTTAACCGTATCTAAAGGTTATTGACAAATATGGACGAATTTTAAACTATCTAAAATATTACTGACAAATATAAATGGAAACGAAAGGAAACAGTTTTGTGTTTAATTTGAGTGATAATTTATCATAAACTTTTGAGGTAGCGTCACCCGGTCGACATGTGTGGATTCTAGGGCAGTTATTTCTTGAACTCCCGACTTCGGTGTCTACACGGGAAAAGCCTGGATTCGCTTAACATTATGTATTAGGCGCACCCCTTCTAGAAAATAAAATATTTGGTAAAAAAAAGTGTGCCTAATACACCGAAAAATACGGTATTTCAACAATAGGAAAAGGTACAAATCACATGCTAGTTCTGGTTCGGCAGCCATTTTTATAAATTTCGCGTAGCGGTTGGATTTTATCAAATTGTTTAATTATGTTTCACCTTTATTTCAATTTTTTCAACTGATTTCAATTTATTTCAACAACATATAGGAAAAGGTACGAATCAGTTTGAGGTACGAAGTGAGGTACGAATGAACTAAGTACGAAACAGCCAGGTTATGAAACAGGCTGCACCCGTTTGATCGGACGTTTTCCTCTGAACTTCCTATTCGTCCCTATAACTGCAATATGAACATACCTTCTATTAAAATATATAATATAATAATTCAACACTATTTCCAAGTAGAATTTTGTGATTAAAAAACATAACAATATGTTTGAACTGATCCACCATTTATGAGAATTCATCAAACATGTGCAGACTGATATTTATTTAAACATACATTATGCAAGAGCTAAATCTGATTATTGCAAGTCTTTATTTAGGCTTTAGATGTCATAGAAATTATAAATTAGATCTTTATTTCCACAACAAGCACAAAATCAACTCTGTAGACCCACAAATGGCTTGGATTCAGCTTGGATTTAAACAGGATTTCGTTGACTGATTAATTTTAAATGGCGTCGTGAGCGGAGATTAACCGTTACGTTGACGTCATACTCCCGGACCGAGGCTAAATGATAGAGTGTACGAAGCGAGGCCGCTGTTGAGCGATGCGTTAACAAATGACATCTAAACTATTTAAAGTGCAATAAACTAAACACAGATAATGACAAATTATACAATTCCTGGAGACCATGTGATGACTAATACAGACGGACAGGTCTTCTGTCTTAATAATATCAATAAAAATATTTCAAATCATGTCTAAATTATTTTTGTTTTCTTGATGATATACCACGTTGTAGCAGACGATATGTCAACCTCGCCCACGGTCCAGTCGAATGCTGTATATAAAAGCATAAACCAAGATGCATTGCTGTATGAAGCCGATTTATATGTTTTGTGTTAATTTTAGTGTTCTTACGGTTAGGACTTTTGTTATTTGAATAACTGGTTAGTAACTGTTTAACCGTTTGGTATCAATTTTCAACATAGACCAGGCCTTGTCATGAGGTGCGAGTCATTACTCGTCTTAAAATATGCTCGCTCAAAAATTTCGGAAAACTTTTCATAGAAATGTACAATTCTTTAATTAAAGGTTAAACCATCTAAGGCCATAGTTATTTGATTACCTGGTTAACTTGGTTCATTTGAATCATTTTCTAATTCAATATCTACAACATTATACAAGACATTACTCTGTGTAATTACGATCATACTGCACGCCTACGTTTAGGATGTATTACAATTACACAATGTTACTAAGAATAGAATAAACTAAATTGGAAGGCGTCTATTGATTGGACAATAAAGAAATAATTTCGGGCTTGCAAGTAGAATTTTTATGATTGGTTAATTTAACTAAAAACAAAAGGAGAATTCTCACGAGAAATTACGATATGTAGAATGTTGTAACGAATCTACTATGTTATTTTCTAGCCTTTATGATTATATTTTGAATCCAGGTTACATTTTTAAAAAAATATCAAACAAGGTAGAATATAGTTAGAAATGTCGGGGTGAAGTATTTGGATTGGATTAACAATAGCAAAAGTCAGAACAAGGTCTGTTGACAATCACGAAGGCTGTTAATAGTATTATTTTTTAGCGGTCGACGTCGTAGGGCGACAGTTACATTCTAAGATTTTCAAACATTAAATACAAAAGGACAACAGACAACTTTTGTTATAAATCTGTATAGAATGCGTCGAAGCCAGTTATATATTTTCATTCAACAGTTGATCTCTGATCCAAATAGTGAATTTGGAATTTTGATAAAATGGGACACAAATGTATCGTTCTTGGTTGCGACGATGGATATAAATTGACTGGATTAAAATTTCACTGAGTGCCAAAAGCTGAAACAAGATGATCTATATGGTTACATAATGCAATTAGCAGAAAAAATAAAAAGGGTCTTAAAAAAAATTATTCATTGATTCAACAAAATCATCATTTTATAGCAGACAATATATATTACCCCCACAGGTACCCTGTCTTCCATTGAATGTAAATAGGATAAACCATTTATATTGTGTTAATGTCCTACAATTAATAGATAACATGTGTTTGGTTGACCCTTCTAAAATAAAGAAATAATAGTCACATACTGAAATGGAAATGGAAATGGAAATAGTTGCCAGTTCCATTTTAATCAATACATGCTATTGGTATGAGGGTATTTTCACTCAAAAACATACAATAGCCTATGGGTTTCAGTCTACGAATACAGCCACGGTCTGTGCATGACCGAAAATGAGATCAAACAGGAAACCTGTAAAAGCTCCTATATATTACCACCTATCTATTAATTCCCTCCTTATGTGAAAAATAAATTTTTGAAAACTATTAAGTTCAACAATTGTCAGAAGTTATTTATTTGCTCTTAAACTTTGTACATGTGTAATACGAATTACTGTAAGTGTACATGTAATGTCAGTTACCCGAGTATTTCCCAGAATGTTAGGAGCACAAGTTTGGTATCCCTATACCATGGTTTTTGGGGTCAAGCAATCTGTTAAAACCAACCAAACAAATGAAAGATTGCTAGCAAAAATAACCACCAAACTCTAAAACTGGAATAAATTTTCACATACACATGCTAGAACTGTTATTTTGGTGTCAGTACTTAGGTTATAGTGGTCAACTTATTCATTAAAACCATTGACTACAATAAAACAAAGTTCTTGCATGCCAATATGAAACTTTATAGCAGTTTTACAGAGTATGGAGACTTTTGGTGTCCATCTTGGATTTTACGATGACTTCATGAGTTTTTCATCTAAAAGAGTGTGAATGTATATAGACACCAAAATTTACCCCTTAACTTGAATAGCAGGGGCTATGGTCAGTGATTGCATGGTGGTCATCTTGGATGCTATCTTAAAGTTCCCCATTTCTTCCTATGAAACCACGCCACTTAGACCACAAAAACTCCCCGATAACATACATTTTGAAAAAGTTAAAGTAAACATGGCTGGCCAAAATGAAATAGGACTATTCTGTAGTTGTAAAAAGTAAGACTAGAGCTACAAAAGATTAGAATCAGGTGACACACACATTGTTAACACAGGTTTGTAGCATCCAATAGACCAGGCATGTAAAAGTGTGGTAGTTGTGAAAAGTAAAAAGAATGCTACTTAAAGCATAATACTTACTGTATGAAAAATGTATTGTAGTTATATACTTTATCATCCAGCAAATTGTGCATCTTTGACAGAATTCCAACCTAAAACAGAGACAGAAAGTTTCTGGTCTTCTATATTCATCATCTGTTTAGAAGATCTGTAATCAGTGTACGGGAGAGGTGAAATATTTCAATTTCCACATATATTATTACATGTATGTGTCACTGATTGACGCTGGAGTAGAAAAAACACAAAAGTGACAATAACAGTATTATTTATCAAAAGATATGATCGATATATCATGGAGTTTAATGTTTTGTACAACACGACATTTAACTTTCAAAGAACTATTTTTATGTTTTGGAAAATAAGATGAATATATCTCAACGTAAAAATAGTTCTTTCAAACCGTTGATTAATTTATAGACACAGTAACACACATGTACTTTTTGTGATATTTGAATTCTTCATCATTTTTATTGTTCCTTATTTTTAGAGTGCAATAATCTTTCTTGAGAGAACTTGTATTATGCTGGTCCCATAAAAGATATTTTTTATGACTTAACCATTGATTAGAAAACTAACAATAAAATTATATATGTTACCAAAAATCTTTCTGTAATGGAGCATGAGCAAAGTTTGTATATGTTAACCAGATGACCAAGACATAGATCATTAGTCAAAAATCCCAGTCATAATGAGTAAGAAATAATGTGAGTATAATGATAGCAATGACAATTTGTAACTAGTGGGTCATATCGAATATGCAAAGGGATTAGCTTGTGCTGCTAACTATAGACATTTGTCTTAAATTACACTGTGAGGTTGTCGGTTGGTGATAGATCAAGGGGCATGTTTAATGAAATCATGTCAGAAATGTGTTTTAATATAATTATTGATGAAATTCTTTGTTAAAATGTAAGTCATACAGTCACAAAGGAGCACGTCTGTTGAAAAATGCTGAATCTCTTTCAAAAATAACAGCTGAGTCAAATTATTATTTTTAACATCTATTAAAATGTTCTTGTTCTCAAGCTCTTGAGATAATCAAATTCACAGGCAAATTACTCGTCTGAAACTGATTCTCCATCAACAGTGCCGGTAGATATTATATAAGGTTTAAGAAATAATTAGTCTGGAACCTGGACATTGATCCTACATTTTGTCAGCATGTCAAACAATACTCATTAATTCTCACTAGTTAGTCAATCTAGTCTACAAATTGGTCCCACCATCGACTTTATATCATGGTCCCACTTGATAAAATGGGTCTTGATTCAAAATTAACTTTTGAACTGATTTTATTCAATTCACTCTCCATATTCAAATAGTAGCTTTTACTATGCCTGTCCCAACTAGTCCTTGTTTGTCTACTGCAGTGTTCAATGCCTTGAAGAAGATATACCTTTCTTTTCATTATCCTGTTTCCTTTCTATACAATAAGCTGATGAAACTAATGTTGCCTCAAGGCACCGTATTTGGAAAAGAACCGGGCCTATTGATGAATTAGAATAGATATACATGTATGTACACAAAAGGACTTTCCAATGATAGCAATATACTGTTGTTTGAATCGATTCATTGACCAGCGAGAATACAAGGCCATTAGTATAACACTGTTCGGAGCAATGTTGGGCCCAGTTTTACCTTCAAAGCAACTGAAACCCATCTTATAAGTTGAGATATTGTGAGATTCCAGTGTTCAAAAAGTTTTAACACCATATTTCAATAGTAAAGAAAGAATCCTGCCTAGTTTTAGCTTGAATATGTCTTCATGATAATTCCACCGAAGTTAAGAAAGAAAAATCCTAACTCTATGTGCTGGATCAAGATTGATTGAAGTACCATTTACTACTAGTCAATAACCATAGATTGGGTTAGTTTGCTGCTTTGAAAATTAACTATAGTAAAACTTGACAATACTGATATTTGTAGTAGCCTACACAGGGCCCTGTTCAAAGCACATGTAAGACTTATGTATACTTATATAACTCTATTGAACTGACTTAACTTAACATATGCTTTGGGCAAGGAGTTCCAGGTATTTGATTATAAAAGAGAATACAGCATATCCTATGTTTTAATAAACTTAAACCTAATATGATAAATGTACTTACCTTTACAACCATTCTAATTAGTATTTGATTATAATTTTGTTTCTTTTATATTTAACGATATTTTACACTACATTGCAATCTGACCAACTTTTTATCAGTTTGATGTTCAGCCAGGAAGAATCCTTTTTTTTATCAATTGTCTTCAAAATGGTTATAACCCTACCTGAAACCCTCTGAAAATATTTCAATATAAATTATGCATTCCCATAATTCCCCACAATACAAAGCCCCATAAATTAATCTGATTCGTCACATGATCTGAACACTGACTTCCAACAAATGTTAATGTTGTACAATTTTAAAACCCCACGATAAATATGATTTTAATTGAAGCTTACCTTTTATAGTAGCTAGTTATAATTCATCCGACTTCTATAATCATTGTTGACAGGCCCATAAAAAAACAAAGGCACATAATAACCATTTATGTAAGATGAAATAATATTTCATACAATATTGTTAATCAAGTTATTCATGATCACAACAAATACGAGGGTGTTGTTCTTTTATATTGGTAACCCTTTATTGTACTGACTGGTATAAACATTTCTATTTATAATCATTAATAGTCCTTACTTTTGTGATTCACGATTCTTATACAGGGTCTTTTAAGCATGCAATAAATCAATCATATCTATTTACTTTAATCCCATTACTGAATGAGCCACATATAATAATATAATAACAAATTTAAGAGTTTGACTTTGCCAGGAGAATGTTGATTATAAGGATTAATGTGCTCTAGGTGTTCCTATTATCCTGTGTGTGCTGAGCCACACCTTCTGATGTCCGATCAATATGGTAGTCTGCTGTTGAGAACTTTCAGTTGTTGTTTTTTGAGAATCGATTCTGCGGTATAATTGAAGTGAATATTGTGACTGTTGTTAAGCAATGTGTTTATGCTATGATATCGTATCATCTATTCACAGTGTTACTATCAATATGAATTATGTATAATCAATAATGGTTTTGGATTATAAGATTGCATAGAATTTTTTTGATGTATTTTGTGAATTTCGATTCAGTGTCAGTGTGTTTTGGAGTCTGTAATTGGAATTTAATGTTGTTTACAGATATTGTTAGTTATGTACTAGAAAGAGTAAGCATTGTCTACCTTATACATGACACCCACCAGTTATAACAGGAGCAAGAATTTGGGGTTTGACTTGTATTTTTCATTGTCTTAATAACTTTGTCTTTACTGTTTGTATGACGTTTTCTGCTCATTTTGAAATTAGATGTTACACTTAAATGCAATTTCAGAAATTGGCTCTTGAATAGTTTATAGGTGATAACTTAAGAACTGATGAGATTAATTGAATTTTGAGTCCATAAATAGTATTCAATCAATGAAAGTAGCATGTGGTAATTCAATAAGTGTCAACCAGTAATTCCTTAATAATATGTCTAAGATAGCCTTATATACAATAGAAAAAAATCTATAGATTGGTTACCGGACTTGACAACTCTGCTTAAGAAATGAATCCAACCATTTGCTTATAGTGATCTAAAAGTGTACTAGCCAGCTATGTAAATTCCTTTATTGAGTGCAAATAGGTGTTCGAAAATAGTAAGCATATGATGATTTATTTTTGTGACACACCCGTACTTGTGAGAACATGTGAGGTAATATAAATGTTGGTATAAAAAATATGGTATATTCGTAGACTATGATTTTTACAGCTTTTTTTATTTGAGAGAGAGAGAGAAATGGGGCTTAATGTCCACTCGATACAAACTAGGTCATTTTGGGACTAACATATGGTTTAATTTTATTTCAATAATTCACTTGCGCATAGGGGTCTTTAGCAGTGGGAGGAAACCGGAGGACCCGGAGAAAACCCACGAGGTTGGACAGGCAACCCTACTCCTTGTCACGTACAACCGGGGATTCAAAACCATGCCAGTCGACTCAATGACAGACTTTATGATACAGCCCGCGCACGCTAACCATTCAGCTAACCATTTGACAGTACATATTTTGTTTTATATAAGTTACCGATGACAAAAATTGTATTTTTTTAGAAGATTAATGATAAGATTTTAACTCCAAATTTGTTTAGTCGGTAGGTGTAGCCGCCTATTCATTGAATAAGAACAGGATATCTCTTTCTCGTTGCTATAGTGATCATTGAATCATTATTTCTTCTAGTAGAAATGAATAATATATAAATCTATAGAAAGTTCTTTATGGTATACTGAAATGTAAACATTAACTTGATGAGTAGCTTGTAGTCTTGGTAACATGGTGTCACTTAAATTCTTGCATATTGTTGACATATAAACATTGAATTTTAACTTATTTTCTTTATTCTCAATTGTGGAGGTTGGGGGGGGGGGGGGCGAATGGTTAGCATGTGTGTGCTGTATCATAATAAGGTCTGTCATTGAGTCAACTGACATGGTTTCGATTACCCGGTTGTACGTGACAAGGAGTAGGGTCACTTGTCCAACCTCGTGAGTTTTCTCCGGTTTCCTCCCACAACTAAAGACCCCTATGCGCAAGCGAATTATCGAAATAAAATTGAACCATGTTTTAGTCCCGAAATGACCTATTTTATGTCGATTGGATGTTAAACCCCATTTCTTTCTCTCTTTATTCCCAATTGTTGATTTCTGTTGTTTACTTATAATGTGATGTCACACTGGGAAGAACATGAATGGTCTTGAATAATAAATAATGACAGTCTTTTGTTAAAGTTTCCTGGTTGAGCTATTGAATAAAACACAATATCGGTACCGTCGATCATAAGTTTAGAAATACAGGTGATAAAAATCAGTGTAGTGCTATTTGACCTTTATTGTTGTCATGTGTCAGTACTACTATATAAATATATATAAACTATCAAACAGTAATTCAGTTTTGATCCAGAAGAGTAGCAAAACTTTATTAATAGTCTTAATATTTTGGAGTTATTCGATATTTGTAAGAATAATTATGATTACCAATGATGGATTGGACATCTATTCAATATTCTTTTTTTTTACAGCGTTGTGTCGTTTGCCTAGAATGGAAAAGTAGAAAGTAATTTTGTTGTCATTAATTTGAAGTTAGTATTTTCCAAAATGACCTCTGTGCATTTTGAGAATGTCGATGCTGAATCGACAAATGAAAAGGAAACCAAATTAGCTGAAACTAATGCTGAAAATGTTGATGGAAATAATACAAGTGGTCCAGTGCCGCAAGTTTCAGTTCCTGATTATACTCCTAAAACAATATCCGGTCAATATGTATTTGATAAAAATCACTTTGAAATGCTTCGTAATAAATACAACATTTTGCCCCATGTTGGACATGAACGCATTCTTAATATAACTGGTTCTAGTAAGGATAATAATCAACACTTTCCTGGTTTTTGTTTAAACTTGAGATCTATAGAAGGAATAGCTGAGTATCTCAATTTGGTGAGTTGAATTTGTAACAGTAACCAAAGATTTAAGTGTTGGTCTACTACAAAACGACATGCAAAATATTATATCTAATTTACATGTACATGTATATACTTGTATTTTAGCACAAAAAGTAGGATCATTTGAATATTTTAATTTGTAATATTGTAATTTTGTTTAGAAACAACTGTAACTAAAGATTTAAATCTAGGCCTACTACAAACTAACATGAAAAATATTATATCTAACTTACATGTATATTCTTGTATATTTTTACCAGAAAAAGTTGGATCATTTGAATATTTTAATCTGTAATTTTGTTGAGAAGAGGGGTGGGGGGATTTATTGCATTGAGACCGTATTCATGAAAACTTAATCTAAAATTTTTTTAAGAATGCAGCATTTCCATTGACTTGTGCTTTTACTGGAAAAATTCTACACTGTATCCTTAAAATACTATCAATTTGTTGATATTGTAAACTGCAATTGTCAATATTATTTGGATTTTCTGTGTAGTAGCTCCTGAATGTCCATATTGTATTGTGTATGTGTCTGATATCACTTTTATTTTTGATCTCAGCATATATGGTAATCAATCAGTGCTAATACATGTAGGTTACTAACTACTAGCAGTAAAGCATAGTCTAACTCTTAATATATTCTCCAGGGGACAATTTTCTTGATTGAATTGCCATCAGATTTATCAGATAAATACATTATCCTTCCCAACAGCAATTTTTATTCTGAAAATCTAATAATTAAGCTTTTTATTGATTACTTGTATTAGTTCAACCCGCAACACTTCTATATGTTGAGTATATAGATATTGATTTAAAAACTTTAAAGGGAAAGTTTAATTAGAATCGACCAAAACCTATGTCTAGATTGCATTATAAGTATCTACCTTTTAGTGATGAAAACCAGAAACTATATTGAAATCAATAAGCTATAATACTCTTTAAAGAAATGGGTGTGGCATTACTGGACTAATATGCACTATACATAGTCTTGGCTTAAAGATACATTCCCGGGTACAAACTTTACTGGACTAATATGCACTATACATAGACTTGGCTTAAAGATACATTCCCGGGTACAAACTGGGTGATGTGATGATATATTTGGACTAAAAACATATTCAAACTAATTAATTTATCATAATTTTGCTTCAAATCCTTTTCAAAACATTGCAATTGTCGGGGAATACACTGGCTAAAAAAAATCGATCAAAAGAGGTCATGTTTGTGTCTTTGACTTAACCTCTCTTGGTACCTAGCAACGCAAGTGAAGTCGGAGGAGAATTCATTGCATACACAAGACAATGTTGTCTTTAATCGCTGACTATTTATTACAAATATCGAAGCCTAATTAAATTTTCGGATTATCCCTGCCCGTGTCTTTTTCCGTCATTTTTATCTCAGAAAGTATTGTACGTCTAATTCTTTATAAAGTTTATCAAAATGTACATCAAGCGCTCAATCTCTGCATGCAACCTTCGACGTCACGCATGCAGACACTGCTAATCGTCGGGCTGTCGATTGGGGAAACCCCTACATTTTTGTCCTGTATGCGCTCCATGAGTGTTTTTTCTAGTAAGATTGGATATTTCTACTTTCCATATATACCAAAATTGCCATACTTTTATTGGAAATAACCACCCAATAAATACTTTTCTGGGAACGTAGCTTTAAAACAGTTATTAAGACTGACTCGACTTTCTGATTGTCTAGCTGTGAATTACATCTTGATTTGAAATCAATTGTTAGGTGAGGAGAAGAGGGGTAGTTGGTAGGACTGAGTCGTGCACTTGAGCCAGCTAATACCCTGTTATGGGTAATCAGCTGTTGGGTTTACAATTATATACCTGCTGATAAGGAAATGGAAAATGTGCCACACAGTATGCTAAGATGAGGGAAATTTTGTATATTCTGTTTTTATATGTTTTTAAAATGTAAATATATATCTAAGCTCAATGTATATTTTATAGGTGGCAGGAACATCAGCATTATATCAAGTATCGGTTTCATTATTTGATCTCAAGTTTAAATGTTTTTTTGGAAGACAGTGGATTGGACCAGCAGTACCATGTGGTGAGAGCAAAAAAATCAAATACAAACAGGTACATATGATTTAAATTGTTACATTTAAAAATAAAATCTAATCTTTATTATTATACAAATGATATAGAGTTGAAAATATGACATAGGGTTTTATCATGCAGTTTCATTAAAGTAATTTTTTCTCTACCAAAGCAGTTTCATGTGGACTTATTATGTCGTCACCCCTGACGTCCATCCGTCCACAATTTGTTTGTGTACACTCTATGAGTCACAATTTTCATCCCATTTTGACAAAACTTGAATTATAGGTCTATCTCCCAAAGATCTCGGGGTCCTTTTGATATTGGCATTTATCGGACCATGGATTATGGCCCTTGATAGTACGAAAATTCACGTTTTTAGGTTGTGGTCCCTCTAGAGGTCACAATTTTTATCTGATTTTAAAAACCATTTCAATATACATGTATCACTGTTATAATATCAGTTGAGTTTGAATTTGGTGAAAATCAGACCGAAGCTGCTGGACTGGACAAAATGGCCGCTCCTTGTACACAAATAGTGTAAAAGTATGTAATACCAAGGTTGTGGACCCTCTAGGCATCACAATTTTTATCCTATTTTGATGAAACTCGAAATGTAAATTTATTACCCAAGGATCTTGGTTGCCTTTTAATATTTGCACATATCAGACTATAACTTCCTGGATTATTGCCTCTTATTGTACGAAAAATCGTGTTTTTTTTTTTTTAATTTGTTCTCTATCTATAAAACAAAATTTTAAACTATAAAATACAAAACGAAATAGGATCTGTGTTTAATCTGTGTGGTTTTTTTTTGGCAGAATGTTTATTTTCACACATCATTAAAGAATTCTAACATAGTGGCTGTTATTGAAGTTATAGTCAATACTACTGATGACCTGACAGGTAGAATAAAGAAGTCATCTTGTGGTTGGGGTATCATTAGATTATTTAAATATAATGAAGAGTTACCTGACTCATCTAGAGGTTTACCTCTTCCATTACAAACGTAAGTTGTTTTACTAGCTTTAAACAGACCTGATCCGGTCTAGATGTTTCCCTCTTCCATTACATACTGAAGTTTGACTAGCTTTAAATACAGACCTGAGTTATTTCTATTACATACACAACTTGATTTACTAGCTTTAAAGGGCCAATCCCGATAATATTTTGGAGAATAAAACTGCTTAATTTTGTGTTAAAATTTGTTAAAATCCTCTACCTTAGGGCCGAGCAACTAACTCAATATATGTGATACGTTTTCAAACAACTTAAACCCGTCAGTCTTCATCTGAAAATGGAGACCGGTGTCCCAAGCTGTATTATGCAGTGTCTGGATAAAACCAGACTTTTATTTTATAAAAATAATGTGTAGGTGAAATTTACCTTTCGTTATCAAGTACAGCACATGGTCATTCATTGTATAGACCTCTAAAGGAACGGGAATCGATTATCAGGTCACCCAACGAAAAAATTGACCCAAAATCTTAAATGGGTTATGTGTTCAGATAAGCAGTTTTGAGGTTCACGTCCAAATGACTCAATATTTTGAGCTGAAATTTTGAGACAAGGTAAATACACCATTCCTCTATATTTTGGCGCTTAAATTTCATACGTACTCAGACTTTTATTTTTGAGACTCTGTTCAAATCGGGATGGTCCCTTTAAGCACAGACCTGAGTTATTTCTATTACAAAGGTACGTTGTTTTGCTAGCTTAAAATAAATACAGAATTATTCTATTACAGAAGTACCAGTAAGTTGTTTTAGTTTTTACTAGCTTTAAACATAGACCTAAGTTATTTTAATTACAAAAGTAGGTATACCAATCTGATTAAAATACAGATCTATATGGCCTCTACTGCATGAAGATCGCATGCTAAGAACTCGCTGCAACAGACTGTTTCATTGGCTAATCCCTCACATCAACTAGAACGTGGGTTATATAACAACTCTTCCATATCCTAATGTAGTAAAGACAAGTAAAACAAAATTTTGAACTATAAAAAACGAAACGAAATAGGATTTGTGTTTTAATCAGATTGGTTATTTTACTAGCTTTAAACACAGATCACGTCGAGTATACAAAAACTGAATAAAGATGTAAGAACAAACTGTTGTGTGTATACAACATGAAAAAAAGAAAGAAGTAATATGTTAGGTCTAATTTTAATTGGGCTGTCTTATCTCCAAACAATATTAATATTATATGATGTTTCAAAAGAAAGTCTTATCTCTGAACAACATGTTCAGAACAGATGCATCTTTAGGATCTATAAGTGAGGAATTAAATAATTCAACACTTATTGGAATGACTCTCAAATTATCAAAAACCGATGACCTAGAATGTATATTTTATTTTCAGGTCCAAATTATATCACGGTTCACCTCGAGCGTTATTTTTACTCTCAGAACCCATTGAAGGTAAGCAATATTATATTTGTATGGATATTTGTTTTGCTTAAAGAAAATCTAGTCAAAATAAAAAGAAATGTTGCGAAACCTACAAGTGTACATGGCAATCTATTTCATAGGCTACTATATACATTGACAAATTACCAATATAGTACTGGTACCGTGAGGTAGAATCATTTGAATGTTATTCTTTCTTGTGAATTTTAATGTAGATCTATGAACACAGATAATTGGAATATAATGTGTGATAATTATAATATAAATGATTATGATATAGGGATGTATTATAATATATAGCTGTGTGATAATTATAATATTGATGTGTGATAATTATAACACTGTGTGATTATTATAACATTGATGTGTGATAATTATAATATAGCTGTGTGATAATTATAGTATTGATGTGTGATTATTATAACACTGTGTGATTATTATAACATTGATGTGTGATATTTATAATATAGCTGGGTGATAATTATAATATTGATGTGTGATAATTGTAACACTGTGTGATTATTATAACATTGATGTGTGATAATTATAATATTGATGTGTGATAATTATAATTATAATATTGGTGTGTGATAATTTGTATATTTTTTTGCAGATGAAGATTTATTAAATCATATAGAAGGATGTGATGTTAACTATACTGTATGTACACATAAAGTATTAATGCAAGTCATGCATTTATTACCTGAAAATGTTGTTGTTGGTTCTAAAGATGTTGTACCAGGTTTAGTTGATGGCAGAGATTCAGGTATTTCAAGTGCATTATGATTTTTTTTACCTTTTTGTTATCCAATGAGATGCTCAAGAGTAGTAGTAGGATTACAGGTAAACATTCACAGTTCACACCACGACATTGGTTTGTTGTACCAGGTTTAGTTGATGGCAGAGATTCAGGTATTTCAAGTGCATTATAATTTTTTTTACCTTTTTGTTATCCAATGAGATGCTCAAGAGTAGTAGTAGGATTACAGGTAAACATTCACAGTTCACACCACGACATTGGTTTGTGTCAGTTAAAGCTACACTGGTCTTATAGCATACAGATTATATACTATTCAAAAACAGTAGGGGATATTTGATTTTTAAGTGTTATTAAAGTCACCTAATGAAACTGACGAAGAAACAAATGACAAAATGAAATGAAGTTCACATTCATCGATTTATTCCAAATGATCGTTAGACTAAGTAAGGCACAGACTGACCATTACAAGGGTAAAATGATACCCGGGGTCAAACAGCAAAGTTACCACAGCATCACAACCAAGTCAGTAACGGGTAAATCCTCCTCTGTTTGCCAAACAAGCATTGATCCGACGTGGCATACTCCTAATGAGACATCTAAGGTCATTTTGGTCCAGATTGTCCCATTCCTGTTGCAACGCAGCAGCAAGTTCTTGGACATTGGCAGGACGTTGTTGACGTTGACGTAACCTCTGTCCAAGCATGTCCCAGACATGCTCGATGGGGGAGAGGTCGGGACTCAGTGCTGGCCAAGGTAATGTGGTGATGTTCTGTTGTTGGAGGTAACCTGTAACGATCCTGGCCCTGTGACATCTTGCGTTGTCATCCTGGAAGATGAAACGGCGGCCATGACGTCGTGCGAACGGCACAACATGGACTGCCAAGATGTTGTCCCGGTAGTACTGGCCTGTAACACGCCCTGCAACAACATGTAAAGCCGTTCTTCCAGCAACAGTGATGCCTCCCCACACCATAACAGAACCACCCCCAAATCGATCATGTCTGATGACGTTAACGTCTTGGAAGCGCTCGTTTCGACGAAGCCACACCCTCTTACGTCTGTCCAAAAAATCAAGAGTGAACCTTGACTCATCTGAAAACATCACATTGCTCCAGCGTCGATTATCCCAGTGTTGACGATCCCTACACCAACGACGTCTTGCCTGAATGTGATGATCTCTCAAACAAGGGATCACGCGAGGACGTCGGGCGCGAAGGTGACCCCTATGCAGTCGATTCCGAATCGTCTGGCCACTCACTCTCACACCAGTGTCTGTTTGAAGACGAGCGCTGATCTGATTTGCTGTGATGACACGATTTCTCAAGGCCAAGGTACGGATAAATCGATCCTTGGCTTGAGTTGTCGCCCTTGGACGACCTGAGCGTGGTCTGTCCTGTAGAGATTGTGTATCACGGTATCTGGACCATAGCCTGCTTATGACAGACTGAGAAACATTCATCGTCCGCGCCACAACCGCCTGTGTTGTGCCGATCTGTAGCATGCCAAGGGCACGTAACCTTTCATTTTGGGTAAGCCGACGCATATCAAAATTTGTTTTCTGGTCACTAAAACAATTAAACTGATGTTTCCACCGTGGAATTCAATGCCACAATGACTGTAACATTCAAAGTCAGAGTCGTGCAAATCTTGGGTTGGACCCCCATGATGATCCCAAGCATCACCTGCATTCCATGCGGTAGCTATTGGTGCGTTTGGGTGTCACATGTAACTGGAAATGTTTCTTCTGTTAGGTTCTATAGTGACTTTTTTCGTAGTCATTTGCATATTTTAGTATTATGCCCCCAAAATCAAATATCCCCTACTTTTTTTGAATAGTATAGATGTGCTTCCATGTATTATTTCTAGGGTACATTTATTTAAAAGGGGATTTTGAAGAAGTCTATTACACACTTATCGTAATTGTGGTAGATTCTAAATCTGTTAATCAATATTTTATAGGTAAAGATAAGTTTAAGAAGCCTCAGTTATTGAATCCAGTACCAGTACAGATGGAGCACTTTACACTACATTTACAGCCATATGTTGACAAGTTTGAAGAAGAGTTATGTACCTTGTTAAAAGAAGATCGTGCGAAGCGTGAAAATAGAAGCATAGAAGGAACACAAGTCTCTATTGTTGAAAGACGTCTGCAGGTAAACTTGATTAAAATGTTTGTTTCAGTTCTGAAATGATATATTTAGAGCTTATTGTTATTTATCTTAAGCTCGTTAAATAAAGGCTGAATCCGGATGTAGCCAATTTATACTAATAAATCTGCTTGTCTAATGTTGATTTTTTTGTGCAGTTTTTGTCATTTACTGGTTGAAAACCCTTCTCCTTGACGAAAGAAAAGTTCAGGCTACTTATAGTTTCTGACACATTTTCTTATGTATTAATTAAATAAAACTGGTTGGCTTAAAAAGGTTGTTTCAAGTTGTTCTTAACAAATTAAAAACTATGTTCAGCTTCAGACTGGTTTAATCAAATAAATAAGACGTGTTTCCTTCAGATGTATTTGCCCATAAATGGGTAATTCCCAAAATACAAGATTCCGGATAAGATTCATACACATTACATTATTATTTCAACAGAAAAATGAAAGAAATCTTCAGCTTTACTAAAGTTAACATTTCCTTTTTCAGGTTGGTGTTCATAATGGATTATGTTATGTAGAGAAACCCCAAACAGTTTTATTAGAAGAACAAGTTGGTCCAACATCTAGAAAACCAACAGCTAGTCCGTCTGCTAGACGTAGTACTAAATTTGGTCATAAAAGGACTGGATCCAATGGAACAAAGTAAGTTTGGTCAAAATTATTGTCATCCTTAAATAAATTAGATTTTTAAGATCTGTTTAGCTTTCTACATTCTTCAAGAGAAAGATACTTATACTGAAACAAGCCTCACACTACACCACGACTGCATGAGATCATCTATGCATTTGAAGAGTCCAGGGGAAGAACGATCTAAGTCACATTGTCTTTTCCCATAAAAGGCAAAACAGACTTTTGGACGAGAATGCTTGACATGAACAGAACGAGTGGGTTTTAATTACAACTTCAACATGATGTTTAATACAAATCATAATTACCAGTACAACAACTGACTTCCACTTTTCAGCCAAATTAAGGTCAAATAAATACGATGGACTTGTATTTGTCCGGGTGGCCATTTCAGAAGGGCCTTGGTTCGATGTGACTCTGATCGTTTTTACCTGAAATTGATTGTTCCAAAGAAAGCTGATACAATTTGCTACCAGATGGCGCCATTAACAGAGGTTCGTTGAAAAAGTGACTTAGATCGTTCTTCCCCGGGGCTCTTCATTTGCATATTATTAAAATGTCAATGATATGCAATCTCAAATACTATAGTTAAGTAATTAGTTAATACCAATATTATTTATTGTTTTATATTTTCCAGTGCTCATTTTACTAACTTAGTATTGAAAAATCCTATCCAGATCAATGATTTATTAGAAGATCCTCTATTTGCTGTTATATTTAAACTAGAATATGTTATAGCTGAACCACTGTCTGACAATGATAGAAGGGTATGTTGAATTTTTAGACTAGTGCAGTGAAAAGGAGTAGGATCATTGCAAACCCTGTGTGTTTTCCCTGTTTGCACAAAACAGTGCCTCAGAGGTTTTGTCAAAATTGTGATTAAAATCTCAATAACAGGATCAGTGATTTATATTTTCTAATTGCAAACCAAATCTTTTCTGTGTCTTAAGTGTTTCAATGGTAATGCTCACCATTTAATTGCTGAGTCTTTTGTACTTGACACTCCTCCATATTCCCAAAACCTCCTAACCATTTGATCAAGAAATAGCAACCGCTCCCTCAGTCAAGCTAGCACACAATAAGCTGGCCGACAACAGTCCGGTTGCCAGTTAGTGATACCTTGACATTTTTGCCCAGTGCTTGCCCCATGGGTGTTTATCCGGTAATCTAGTATTTTTCCAGTAAGATTGGGTGTCTATACTTTCCATATATACCAAATTTTCCATACTTTTATTGGAAATAACCACCCGATAAATAACTATTTTTTTTATATCTCTCTTTCTAGATGTCATTAACATACGCTAGAGCTCATACGAGGACGGTATCATTACGGTGGGCTGTATGGAATCCATTTCTGCATGCTAATCAACGTGAAGTACATCTAGGCTTAATAGGTGGTAATAAACAGTCTCCAGATGAAGACTTTATATATAAAATACCAGATACAGCCATGCAGGATGAATCAGCTAGTAAAACTGTAGGTGGTTTAGCCATGTTTCAATGGAGTACTGAAGGCAAGGTTAGTATGCGCGAAGACACATTATACTTTTGCCACAAATTTACAATAATGATATTTGCTTTTGATACTTCCACCTGTCGTTAGAAATATTCTCTACCTAAATATTATGTATATGTATACTATTCAAATAAAGGAGGGGATATTTGATTTTTAAGTGTTATTAAAGTCACCTAATGAAACTGACGAAGAAACAAATGACAAAATGAAATGAAGTTCACATTCATCGATTTATTCCAAATGATCGTTAGACTAAGTAAGGCACAGACTGACCATTATAAGGGTAAAATGATACCCGGGGTCAAACAGCAAAGTTACCACAGCATCACAACCAAGTCAGTAACGGGTAAATCCTCCTCTGTTTGCCAAACAAACGTCTAAGGTCATTTTGGTCCAGATTGTCCCATTCCTGTTGCAACGCAGCAGCAAGTTCTTGGACATTGGCAGGACGTTGTTGACGTTGACGTAACCTCTGTCCAAGCATGTCCCAGACATGCTCGATGGGGGAGAGGTCGGGACTCAGTGCTGGCCAAGGTAATGTGGTGATGTTCTGTTGTTGGAGGTAACCTGTAACGATCCTGGCCCTGTGACATCTTGCGTTGTCATCCTGGAAGATGAAATGGCGGCCATGACGTCGTGCGAACGGCACAGCATGGACTGCCAAGATGTTGTCCCGGTAGTACTGGCCTGTAACACGCCCTGCAACAACATGTAAAGCCGTTCTTCCAGCAACAGTGATGCCTCCCCACACCATGTCTGATGACGATAACGTCTTGGAAGCGCTCGTTTCGACGACGCCACACCCTCCTACGTCTGTCCAAAAAATCAACAGTGAACCTTGACTCATCTGAAAACATCACATTGCTCCAGCGTCGATTATCCCAGTGTTGACGATCCCTATACCAACGACGTCTTGCCTGAATGTGATGATCTCTCAAACAAGGGATCACACGAGGACGTCGGGCGCGAAGGTGACCCCTATGCAGTCGATTCCGAATCGTCTGGTCACTCACTCTCACACCAGTGTCTGTTTGAAGACGAGCGCTGATCTGATTTGCTGTGATGACACGATTTCTCAAGGCCAAGGTACGGATAAATCGATCCTGGGCTTGAGTTGTCGCCCTTGGTCGACCTGAGCGTGGTCTGTCCTGTACAGATTGTGTATCACGGTATCTGGACCATAGCCTGCTTATGACAGACTGAGAAACATTCATCGTCCGCGCCACAACCGCCTGTGTTGTGCCGATCTGTAGCATGCCAAGGGCACGTAACCTTTCATTTTGGGTAAGCCGACGCATATCAAAATTTGTTTTCTGGTCACTAAAACAATTAAACTGATGTTTCCACCCTGGAATTCAATGCCACAATGACTGTAACATTCAAAGTCAGAGTCGTGCAAATCTTGGGTTGGACCCCCATGATGATCCCAAGCATCACCTGCATTCCATGCGGTAGCTATTGGTGCGTTTGGGCGTCACATGTAACTGGAAATGTTTCTTCTGTTAGGTTCTAGGTTCTATAGTGACTTTTTTCGTAGTCATTTGCATATTTTAGTATTATGCCCCCAAAATCAAATATCCCCTACTTTTTTTGAATAGTATAATATAGTGTACTTTATCTGGTATACTTTCTTTTTGACAATAAAAACAAAATAATATGATTGAAATATTGAAAAACAAAACATATCCCAAGAGTTCTTTCATAATGATAGTGTAATAGTGTACTTTATCTTGTGTAATTATTTTTTGACATAGAATAAAAACAAAATTAATACGGTATAAATATTGAATAACAAAATTCATTCTAAGAGTTCTTGCATAATGATATGTAAAGATGACAGATTGTTATGTTGTTTATTGCATTTTTTTTTATCAGGAAGGGTTTTTACCAGTTCCAAATACCAATATGGCGTATAATCAGATGAGTGGTCTGTCTCAAGGATTAACTAATGGTTTATCTCCCCATTCTGATGTTTATGGGATGCCAGGATCTGTGGCATCTGTACGTAGCGAAGGAGATGAAAGTTTTCTCTATGATAGTACTAATATTAGTAAAAATGTTAGTAAACGTCCACCTTCAGGAAAGCAGAAGTAAGTTATTGTGTGATATGTATGTATTTGTAATATATCCACCATAAAGCTTCAACATGCTTATTTGATTACATGCCCGGGATCACGTGGCTCAGTGGGTAAGACGCTGGCTCGCTAGCCTGGAGGTCGGGTGTTCGATCCCTGCATTGGCCAAGAAAGTTAATCCAGATTTTCCGGCGTGGTTTCACCTTGTCAGTGATGCAGGACGGAGGGCCTGACAAGGACAGCTGTCTGGTCATTTGGATGGGACGAAAAAACGAGGTCCAGTGTACATATTGGCGTGCACGTAAAAGATCCCTTGGCAGTTGGAATTCGATATAAGAGTAGAACACTGTATGGCGTATGCCCCTCTTCATTAGCCCAGTTTAGGAGCAGAACGGTAGGACGTTAAACCCCATTTCATTTGATTACATGCCTTATGAAATCATTGTACTTCGGTCTGTATTAATTGTAAGTATTTATCAATGATAAATTGTGATCTTGATTTCTTCAGAAATAACATCTGCAAGCATTAATTTGATAATATAGGGTCTTCAAACATATTTATGACACATTCGTATGGAATACAAGTTGCCAGAAATAAACCTCAAAGTAGCTTGTATTCCATATAATAGTGTCATGTGTTATTCTCATTCAGTTACTAAATGTTGCTTAAACTATATTTTTATGCTTATTTTAAACTTTATCTATTAACAATTAACATATCATCACAGATTCATTTTGATTTAAGTTTCTTTTTTTGTAAATTTGATTTGATGAGAAGATTATGTCATTTGTTTCCTTCATTTATAGATAGTGTCAACTACTTGTACATGTAGATTTCTTTATGTTATTTTTCTGTGCTTGATGTTTTTTTGCCAGTTTGAATTATGGAAGCTCATGTAATGTGTCTATCAGTGGTCAAAAATGTGTGACACCACATTCATCTTCATCTGATTTCATGGCTTCTCACGCTAGTTTAAATATTAAACACATGAAGTAAGGCTTATGTAGTGTTCACGTAGATATCCATTCTCCATAGTTGTCTTTAAAGCACATGTACTGCACTCACAATAAACATGTTTTACTGTTCAGCACTATGATTGCCTTTACTATAAACACATTTCTCTGTTCAGCACTAGTATTGAACTCATGTTTTACTGTTTAATTATAATCTTCACTATAAACATGTTTTGCTGTTCATCACTATGATTTCCTTCACTATAAGTAAACACATTGAATTCATGATTTACTGTTCAACACTACCATTAACTTCACAATAAACATGTTTTGCTGTTCAGCATATGATTGCCTCGACTATGAACATGTTTTGCAGTTCAGCACTATCATCAACTTCAGTATAAACATGTTTTGCTGTTCAGCACTATGATTGCCTTCACTATGAAAATGTATTTGCTGCTTAGCATATGATTGCCTTCACTATAAACATGTTTTGCTGTTCAGCATATGATTGCCTTCACTATGACCATGTTTTGGTGTTCAGCACTACCATCAACTTTGCTATAAACATGTTTTGCTGTTCAGCACTATAATTGCCTTAAATGAAAATGTATTTGCTGTTTGTCATATGATCGCCTTTACTATGAACATGTTTTGCTGTTTAGCACTACCATCAGCTTCATTATAAACATGTTTTACTGCTCGTCACTAGTTTAGTTCACTATATACATTATATAGCTGCTCATATAGAATAAGATTTATCACTGAACCAGTATGTATTACAGTTAAAGCCATGGTACAATATAAACATATTATACATGTATCACTATATTATTATACAAACAAGTATTTTCTGTGATCAATTTATTCATTTCTTTTGTGATGTCTTGTGCGTATGCCTAATCTTATTTGATTTTCTGTAGCTCATAAATTTGCTTTTTAGGGCTCAGAGTAGTCCCAGGTATGCTGCTTCACTACAAGTACCACAACAAGGTCAACCAGGAGTAATCTCCCCTCAAGGTATGCCTTATGCGCAGCCTGGTATGTATGGTGGTGGAGTCTATCCACAACAGATGTATATGCCTCCAATGATACAAGGTGGAATTTATCCTACTGGTATGGCCCCAATGGCACAGGTAAATTAATTTAATGTAATATGTAGAATAATTTACATTTGAAAGCTGAAAATGATCATTAGCTTTAATATGCTAATTTGTTTTGTGGGATGACAGTCTGTCTTTGTTTAAAATTTTATGTCTATATATTAGGCTTATGTTGAGAAATAACTGATATTGTTTTCCTCTGTTCACAAATATGAAAATAAAATCAGTAAACAAACTGACTTAAGCATACACTTTGCAGATATTTCTTTCAATTATATCAAGCTTATCTGGTCATTAATTCAAGTAATATCTCACAACAACCTAATTCAATAGTTTATATTTACTTAAATTAAAAGGTTTAGCTCTTTTAAAGATCACTGGAAAAGTTTCATAATTTTTTTAAATGATGCAAGTAATTATGTCAATGTATCCTTTCCATAAGTATAACACGATCCTGATTGCCAATGTTACCTGCAACAGGTAAATTTCAATGTTAGCAATTTCCACTGTTCTCCGTGAGTAGTCGTAACTTTCTGCCAATAAACAAGCTGTGATGTAATTTTAGTCTAGACTAGAATATGATCAGGACTAAAATTACGTCACAGCTTTTTTATTGGCGGAAATTTATGACTACTCACAAAGAATGGCGGAAATCTACCTATTAAAATTTACCTGTGGCTGGTAACATTGACATTCGAGATTGTGCTATACTTATGGAAAGGATATGTTGGTATAATTCCTTGCATTATTTAGAAAAATTTATGAAGTTTTTCTGGTGACCTTTAAGTCTGTCTCTGAGAGATTAAAGCTAGCCCTTTTCTACTGTTATTCTCTTTTGATTTACATTTGAAAGCTCCTAATATTTGTAGGTTGGACCAGAAGCCATGCTAAGAGAAATGCCATATACTCCACCACATGGTCCAGTGTTAACACCAATACCGTTACCAGTTGGGTATGTAGATTATTTATAAAATGTGTTTTATACATTCTGATTTATTATACTAATCAGTTGTGATTGTGAATATAGTAATCTGTTGTTAACTGATTTAATATATGGTTAAATGTGAAAAAAAAATATATGAATTTAAGTTTATCAATTAGTATGTATATATATCAAATGCATTTAAAGGGTTAAACAAAATATACACATATATCAAATGCATTTAAAGGGTTAAATAAAATACACACAAGTGTATATATGTGAGAAAAGAACTTGTGTATTCTTTGGAAACACTAAAAGACCATCTGTCACTGTTTTAGTTCTAAATTTAACAAAACATCACCCATTAAATGGCCATATATTGATATTGATTTGATACCATCCTGTAGTAGCGCCTCCGCTAATCCTGTGATTAACAGTTAATTATTCTAATTGTACTTTGTAGTTGTACCATCAAAGCCAAGTTTTGTCACGATCATCTAGTATCTTTAATATAGGTACAGGTAATGCAAAATAAATTTTTTGTATTTTAGAGGTCAAGGTTTATCGAGGGCAGCGTATGCAAGACTGTATTCTGCTGGTTTTCCACCCATTGTTGATAGTAACGGTGATCCACCAGAAGTTATTGATCCACAATCTAGAGTTATGGTTAATTTAGCTAGAGAACATGCGGATCCTTTACAATGCAATGAATTAATCTTCCAGTTCCTGGCTTACTCAAAGTAAGTTGAAAGTTTGTTCGGTTTTTTTAAAGATAATATTTCTTCATCCAAATCCTAACTACATAAAACATCATTTAGAAAATATATTCAAACTAGCAGGAAAATATATATTTCTTACCAGAAACAATATATAATACTTCAAGTCAAGCTCATTGTATGAATTATAATGCAGCTGCCACCCACCATTTTGTAGAATGCATGTTAGACAATGGATGAATTGGCACTAGTATTGCTTAGCAACATTCAAATGTTGCACACTCTTAAATATAAGTGGCAAAAAGACAAATTTTATATTGTTGAATAACTTTTAGTTTATTGTTTTCTTGTTTATTCAACTATTTCTTTTATATAATGTACATATTCATTTTATTATATAACACAGAAGTCATGTAGGCTATGCCAGTTACTCAATTGTTTTCAATTTTCAATGAAATATTGTTTTAGAAAAGTAATGAATAGTAATATATGTCATGTTTTTGTTTAGAATGTTAGTGTATGATTCTAATGGTCCTAAGAAGAATGCTGGAACAGTTTTCTTTACCTTCCAATTCTACCGTTTTCCTCAAATGACAACAGAAAGGTAAGTTAGAATTGAGAATCGATAAAACCCCCCAAATTATCTGCAGACAGGCATCATTATAACCTCTCTTCTTTCTATCCTTCCCCTTTGTATGGCCAAACTGCTGTTGACTTTTTAGTCTAGAATCAAACAAGCAGGTTTGCATTGACATTTCCTCCAGGTTTTTGTGAATATTCATATTTTAGAGTTGGAAGGATAACAGTGCTAAAAGTTTGTTAATCGTGATATATCACGGATAGTTTGTGTATCTCAAAATTTTAATTGTTAGTCAAATACTAGCTTTGGAGCAAGACATGGCCAGATGTGGTTCAGAGCAATCAGTCCTACAAAATTGATCAAATGCAGGAGCCGGCAAAGAGACAAAACTTAAAGTCAATGTGGAAAGTAATGGTGGTCTGCCTTCGTTTGTTATTGCAAGTTATCTCCTGTTATCCAATGTTTATCATATATCTTACAAACGGATAATAAAAGATGATTTGGGCATTCTCTTGCAATGAATCAAATGATTATGCAGTATAATTTTTAACACATTGTAGTGACATATTGAATGTGATTAATAGATGTAAGTAAAGCAATAAATGAAGAATGATTATATTTTGTCAGATTATTGATGGGTCAACCTCAGAATGGTTTAACATCAAGTCCAGAATCTTTACCATTTATACTACAGAGGATAGAGAAAGATGGTATAGCACAACAAAACTCTCCAGGTTATGAGGTGAGATATATTATTCGATTAATGCCCATGGTCGTCATTTGTGGGAATTATGTATGAACTACAAACTACAATATTGTGTAAGTTGAATCACTGAAAGGAATATCAGTCCAAAAATACTTCAATTCTCTTATAAACTTTTAAAAAACTCTTAACATTCGGCATCTCAAGATGATAAAAACAAGTTGGAGCCACCTACTTACATGTGTTGATTAAAATCTTTTGATGAGCCTCTTTTAGTCGAATCGAATCCAACCTGGGAGATTATCTACCATTGATATTTTAGTTTTGGTTTCTTAATTAAATGTTAAATTCTCAATTTGAGTATATTTTAGCCTTGATTAAGCCATGGAAATATTGCCTGAATCACTATCGCGTACATCATTAGAATTGTCAACTTTTTTCAGGTCCTATTGAACCACTACAAATTATTATAACATGAATCTGTTTGTGCTACATTTTACATCTCTAATAAATGGTTTAGTCTAGATTGTAAAGATACAGAAATTTATATTATTCTTGAATAACTATTAACAAAACTTGTGTATCTCATGATTTTGACATATTCCCAAATTGAAATTAGTGTAATATGCCAAAATTAATGTTAGTTTGTATTATAGATATGATTTTTATGTGATTTTTCAGATCAGATATTATATAGATCCAACTTATTTAAAACCAGGTGAAGGATTTTTATTTTTACAACATCTATCACGTCAGACATTACATATTGATGTATGGGACGGTGATACATTATTACAGATTGGTTCCTGTGCTGTAGAACTCAAAGTGAGTCAAATAGCTTATTCATGACATAAAAGTCCTATTGAAATGTATTGGTGGTTATGAATGCAAGGTCAATCCACACTTCAAAAAATTATTGAACTGTCGTTGCTTTCAGAAAGAAAAAATACTGACATGATATCCTGCAAATTTTTAAAATTCTTAGTTTATTTCTTTTTGGTCAGAAATTTTGTGCCCAGATTTGTACTTATAAATATTTAACCTCTTATATGATGGTAGAATGAATCTTGTTTATTGAATTCCTGTGTTGAATACTTTGATCTTTACAAATTATTGATCAGAAGCAAGCAGATCTATCAAATATAAAACGAAGGATAAATGCAGTTATTGAATTGAATCATACAAAGTAGTAATTTTTCTAAATGATTCTCTTAATATCTTTTCAGTATTTATGTCGTTGTGGTAATGAAGCTGTACAGACAACCTTTGAACTGGATGTGATAAAGACAGATTATCCAGACGAGTTTTCTACTGTAACTGGTGATATTAAGTCAGATGTGAAGCCTGCTGGGACACACTCGATACTGCAAGGAAAACTTCATCTTAGAATGGCTAATATTGGACATGCTCTCAACTCTAAATCTAACAAAACAGGTATTTAATTTTTATATTATCTTGTATGACATCGATCAAAATGTACTTACTAAACACATGTTTTTTAGTGTATTTTATAAAGATTTGAATTCATTACTGGTATTCGAATTTTGAAAGTACATTGGTTAACTGAACAAAGTTAAGTTACAGGTAAACTCTGCTACATGTGACATGGCCCCCAATCAGGTGATCATTGTGCAGTTGTATGTTAGGATTGAATTCAAAAGCCTTGATACTTACATATAGGATCAAAAAGGAAAATACCTAAACAATTTATTGTATTTTTTCTTTAAATATAAAAATTTTGCCTTATTATAAAAGATTAGCCAATCCTGTGTCGATGATGAGCTAACGTTTCCTAGAACTAAATGTATGTAGGAAGTGGCTGTAGTGTAGAAAAGTAAAAGATGCATTATGTAAGATTTAGATAAAGAGTTAAAAAAAATAGATAATGAAAAATGAATATATTGAGAATTAGTTTTATTCTGAGTCAAGTTATGAGTGTTGGAAGATGTATCCATTTATCGTTAATTTTTTAAATCTTACAGGAGTTCTAATCCATTTAAATCTCTGCCATCCAATGGTCTATTAAGTAAATAAATGTCTAAATAATAGTTTATATGATATTTGAAGCCACAAAAAGACCTGCAGTAGGCAGATTTAGCTCTTACATAATGCATCTTAATAAATACCTAGAACATTAATTTTGAAATATTATTGAATTTATACCAGTTGTTTTTCATTTGAATGTTATCACTATTTGTTGAATACTATTTGTATATTTAGATATAACACCTCTACCAAGTAAAACTCAGATTCTCGTCTCACAAACAGCTGGTAATAGTAAATATAAAGGTGGTAGTTTATCTAATACAGCTAATGCTATACGTAAGTATTTAAACCTATATACTATACATATATAAGTAATTCAATTCAGTATTAAACAGGCCAGTTCATGTCTATTTATTAAACTGATGTTTGGTCAGGTTACAACCAGATTTTTTCAATTTAAATTGCTTAGGATTTTTTCTCTTGACATTATTTGTTTACGATACGAAGACTGCAACAGCTGTTTCTTTAAACAGATATTCTTGAAAAATGCAAACTGAAATGATGCATTGGTTCTGTAATTCACAAAAGGTTGATATAACTGTAAGTGGTGCATAGACAAATTGTAACATTTCATTGATAGAAGATTATTTTTTTATATGAAATGTTTTTATTATTTTTATTTTTAGTAAGTGCAAAGAAGATGGTAAATAAATCCAGAGCTCATCATTTATCACAGAATCGTGAAGTGGCTACTTTATTATTCTCTGACAAACCAGCATTAGCTACCACAGAAGATGAAAATGAAGTAACAAGAGAGGGTGATGCAGAGAGGAAAAGAAAACTGGCTCGAATGCAGGCAATACGTAATGCTGCTACTAATCAAGAGAAACCGACTACAGCTATGGTAAAAAAAATTTAAATCTTAAATACTTACAGGTTTTCATATAAAGATATGAACTTTAAAAAAGAATGGAGTTTCTATTTATCCGCAGAACAACAAGCAACTTTTATATTGTCTTTTTCTTTTGAAGCTTATCTCATAACTTTTTTATACGCCCACATTTTCATTTTCATTCGGGTGTATATTGTTCATCCGTCCACAATTTGTTTGTGGACACTCTACAGGTCACCATTTTTATCCGATTTTGACGAAACTTGAAATATAGGTTTTTATCCAAAAGATCTTGGTAACTTCATGGATTATGGCCCCTGATTGTGTGAAAAATCATGTTTTTAGCTTTTGGACACTCTAGAGGTCACAATTTTCATTCGATTTTGGTGAAACTTGAAATGCATGTTTACAACCCAAAGATCATGGTTCCTTTCGATATTCACGCATATTGGATCTTAACTTCCTGAATTATGGCCCCTGATTGTACAAAAAATCCAGTTTTATCTTATGTGGTCCCTCTGGAGGTCATAATTCTTATCCGATTTAAAATAATGAATTTGAATTTTTAGAAAATCGGACCAAAATTGCCAGACAAAAATGGCCGCTCTATGTATGCAAATAGTGTTAAAGTATGTAATTCCAAAGTTGTGGACCCTCTAGAGGTCACAGTTTTGATCTGATTTTGATGAAACTTAAAACATGTGTTTATGTCCCAAAGATCTTGGTTCCTTTTGATATTCGTGCATATTGGATCGTAACCTCCTGGATTATGGCGCCTGATTGTAGGAAAAATCGCTTTTTTTTTTTAGCTTGTGTTCTGTCCATATCTTGCAAAATGTGGGTGTTTCTTGCATGACAACCGTTTGTTTTTTCCCTGCTTATATTTGTTTATTTTATGTTGTAGCGTCCTCTGTCTATACCCTTAATACTTTATTTTCATCAACTAACCTTAATATTGTATTATTTTTTCCAGGGTTATAGAAAAGAAAAAGCTGAAAGATCACGAGATTTAAGAACAATAGAGATTTATCGTCTACAGACTAAGAAAGAAGGAATCGTAAATATGTTAAATGAATCCATTACAACAGAACATACCATCTTTCCATCATTTGGTAATACAGAATTTTTCGAGTTTGTCTTTAGAAATCCATTTAATATACAGCAGACTTTTACTGTGGAATGTGGAGATCCTGATGTACAGTAAGTTAAATATATTTCTTTCATATTCCCAATCTGATTAAAATACAGATCTATATTTCGTTTCGTTTTTTTATACTTTCGATGGCATACACTACATGAAGATCTGACAAGTTATAGCGATAAGTCACATCAGGGGTCAAAAGACCAACTTATGACCCTAGGACGTCAGACATTTGATTAACCAATCAGCATTGATGTTACTAGTGGATTACCCACAGTTCCTTGAAAACACGCCCAAAGCTCGCCGTAACAGACCGTTTCATTGGCTTATCCCTGACACCATTCAGAACACAAGTTAAATAACAACTCTTCCAGATCCAAGTGTAGTAAAGACAAGTAAAACGAAATTTTGAACTATAAAATACGAAACGAAATAGGATCTGTGTTTTAACCAGATTGTCATATTCCTAAAATCCAAACCTGAAGGTATGAATCAGAGAAGTATGATATTTTTCGGAAATCCATAAATGGTTTTATAGAAATACACCCTTTTCATTTTGTTTTGTAGAGTAGTAACTGATACAAGAGAATGGAGACATTTTAAAACATTAGGACAACTTCCTACACAGATAGAAGAAAATATGTTCAGTAAGGAAGGAAAATCTGAATTTCCTCAACTATTCCTTCGACCTAAAGAAACTGTCAGCATCCCTTTGAAATTTCAATCATTTCTGGCAGATCAGAGTGTACAACCACCTGTAAGTTGATGGAGGGTATCAAAATGTAGAATCACTTTTTAGATAATATTAATTTTTGATTCCACTGGATTTTTTGCATTTGTCTATTAACTATTAATGCAAATCTTTATTTTTTTTGGGCTCAGAGAAAATATACCACTGTATGTTATATACCTTACACAGAATTTGTTTAATTGTAGGGTCCTATTGATCCATTAAAGAGTAAGCAAAATATGTTTAAAACAGGAGAACATACAGATGATATTCTACAATCTAAATCAGTTCGGGTATATATATATTTATTCTAATATTCATTTGACCATTGTGTTTATTTTAGGACAGAGGGCCTGACAAGGACAGCTGTCTAGTAATTTGGATGGGACAAAAAAAACGAGGTTCAGTGTATACATTGGCATGCACATAAATGATCCCTTGGCAGTTGGAATTCGACATAAGAGTAGGCAGTAGTGCCGCTGTCCAGGCAAAATTTCACTCATAGCACACTGTATGGCATATGACCATCTTCATTAGCCCAGTCGGAGCAGAACAGTAGGACGTTAAACCCCATTTCATTTCATTTCTTTGTTACTTTGCAAACAGTTTTCAAAAACAAGTATATATATCAACCTATTTGAAGGTAAACTCTTGATATGACTTTCTGGAGTTAACGTATCTCTTTCTTAGATATAATAAATCTTGTTAAATAATTTTTCCTTCAAATTGCTTTGAAAGACTATACATGTTTTGTTTATTATTATTTATAGGTATATTTTAAATCAGAAGAAAATAAAGCAGTAGCCATTATATTATTAAAGATAGAACCACAACCACATGTTATAGATCAAACCTTCCGTTTCTTTCATCCAGAACAATCATTCCTTAAAAAAACAGTTCGATTACCACCCTTCCATACATTACCAGGTAAACTATTTTCATTTGAGTTACTAAAGTTCTGTCCGTCTGTCTGTCCGTCACACTTTTTGGGACACAATAACTCTCTTCCTAATTGAGCTAGAATGTTCAAACTTGGTGTATGTGTTTATTAGGTCAATGCCTTGATGGAGTTCGAAGATGAGCATTTTCCGCTTAGGGTAAGCAGAGATAAGCAATTTGATTGGTTGATGCTTTGGGACACGATAACTCTCTTCCTAATTGGGCTAGAATGTTCAAACTTGGTGTATGTGTTGATTAGGTCAATGCCTTGATGGAGTTCGAAGATGAGCATTTTCCGCTTAGGGTAAGCAGAGATAAGCAATTTGATTGGTTGATGCTTTGGGACACGATAACTTTTAATTGAGCTAGAATGTTCAAACTTGGTGTATGTGTTTATTAGGTCAATGCCTTGATGGAGTTCGAAGATGAGCATTTTCCGCTTAGGGTAAGCAGAGATAAGCAATTTGATTGGTTGATACTTTGGGGCACGATAACTCTCTTCCTAATTGAGCTAGAATGTTCAAACTTGGTGTATGTGTTGATTAGGTCAATGCCTTGATGGAGTTCGAAGATGAGCATTTTCCGCTTAGGGTAAGCAGAGATAAGCAATTTGATTGGTTGATGCTTTGGGACACGATAACTTTAGTTCTAATTAAGTGAGATTGATGAAACTTGGTGTATAGTTTCATTACAGTAATACCTTGACTAAGTTTGATAATGAGCATTTTCTGCTCAGGGTAAGCAGAGCGATACGCAATTTGATTGGTCGAGACTTTGGAAAACAATAACTCTCCTACTTTGATTGTCCCCCGCCTTTCGAAGAAAGCAGGGAACTATTAAAATGGGTTCGTCCGTCTGTCTGTTTGTCTGTCTGTCCGTTCCGCTTATGGTAAGCAGAGATAAACAATTTGATTGGTTGATCTTCGAATTGAGTAAATGTTCATGCTTATTGTCCCCCGCCTTTCGAAGAAAGCAGGGAACTATTAAAATGGGTTCGTCCGTCTGTCTGTTTGTCTGTCCGTTCCGCTTAGGGTAAGCAGAGATAAACAATTTGATTGGAAGCTCGTTTATATAGTTTATGCTTTAGTTCTTGAAGAAGCTTTCCAATGTATTACCCCTGTAATTCCTCCTCTTTTATCTGTACAATATTTTCGAAAAAAATGAAACGAAATCCACTTATGTATACATTTAGGTTACATTATAGCCTACATGTCCCGACTCAACTTGCCACATTACATGTCATAATATTATAACCAGGTATTGATAAAAGCATCAATTGAGCAATTCCAATACAATCCAATACAATGAATATAGGCAAGGTAAATAAACAAATAAATGGAAAAAACAAATTGAAAAAGAAACTATTATACATTAATTAAATATGTAGTATGCAATAATGAATTGACATTTAATGACAGAAAGAAAACAGTGAACTTTGCACAACTTGCAGCAAGATGGAAAATAGACCCGTTGATACAACCAAACTCTAGATCTGTAGGCATAGAGCATGTTTTCCCCTTAATATGCTATAATTATTCCATCAAAAACATTGTATGCTTAGACTATAAGTAAAGATATACTGTTTGATTGTTCAATACTTTGTAAAAGATAATTTGTGATAAATTTATATGTGTCCTCTAATTATTTTCCTATTTCGGCGGGGGACATCAGCCTCACTGTTGGCTTGTTTTATATATTATTTATAACAGGTAGTCCATTATGTGGTAGTGGTCTAAATAAAGTTTATATATTATTGTTTATCAGGTGACCTGTTGTTGGTAGTTGTGTAAATCTATTGTTTCTCTATAACAGGTAGTCCTGTTGGTGGTAGTGGTGTTAATAAAGTCTATATAAGATGTAGTGATGGTAATGTTATAACTGATAGTAAAGCTACACAACCAGGAGAACCACATGATGTCTTCTTTAAGGTAAATCATTAATTAATCATCATGGATCTTAGAATCATAGATAGATTGTATGTTAATATGTAAATGTTGATGATTTGGAAAGAGAAACCAAGCAATTTCTTCTCATTTGAAGTATACACAGAACAGCATAACAATTGATTTTTTTAGACCTCTGAAAATTGGAGAACTTTCCTTGTGAAGTCCTATGTCAACAGACAACAAAAATAATTTTACAAATTCAGATTGATGTTAAAAATATGTGTAATGATCACATGAGTTGACATTTGTATCATGCTTTTATATATACATATGAAGTCATTTAAGTGATTTATTAATGAATGTGGGTCGTTGTGAACCGATAGTTGTTCTTTATCATGAAATATTAAATCCACTCTTAATTGTATTGTATCTTGTATTTTAACTTATAAATGTACATAAATAGATTCATTTTCATTTTAATAAACCTGTCTGCGATATCACCTCGGTGGAAGCGGCCGTAAAATACAACTAACTCACACACGCATTTTAATAAATTTACAGATTGATTTGTTTGTTCATTTAGGTTGCACTTGGACAATCACCACAAAGAAAACGATTTTTTATCGCAATCTATGTTGATCCATTCCTGTCACGACCTATTCAGATATGGCAGGTTTATGTTCACGCCTTACAGAGAGTTGATGTCAGCTGTGTAGAAGGACAGACAACTCGTTTGGCACTTACATTAAAGTAAGTATAAAGTGAAAACAAATCTAGTTTTATTAATCACATGATCAGCATACGTATGTGAGTAGATAAAAAAAAAGCCATTTCCTTTAGGCTTTATGACAGATGTAAAAGATTAAATTGAGTTGACAATGTTTTCAAATATTGCCATCTTTAAAATTTAACTACAAACAATAGCCTAATAGTTCAATATGCATAAAATATATTGAGAACCAATAAATGCTTTATGATCAAGCAAATGTTTTCTATATTTTCTTTCTTCGTATTCCAGGGGAACTCAAGCTTCTCGGTTAGTTCGATGTTTTTCGTCTGATGAAGGAGAGATGCAGCTAGAACCAGGTGATCAGTTTATGTTGACAGCAGGCGCTGTCCATGAATTAAATGTTGCTGTCCGTCCAAATCGACAAGGAAATAAGTTTTATTACATTAATGTTGTTGATGTAGAATACCATCAGTTAGTTAGATCCTGGTTGATTTGCTCCAGTTGTCGACCTCCCATCATCTCCAGGGCCTTTGAACTAATCCTTCCAGTAGGCGGGGGCAAGGGATCCAGCAAGAAAATCACTTACACAAATCCTTACCCAATCAAAAAGATCTTCTTAGTAAGAACAGATCGTGCAGACTTAGTTCAGTTGAAGGAAACTCAGTTTGAGATTGATGGGGGTGGAAGCCATACCATTGGTCTAAGATTTGCTCCTGTCATGCAGACAGGTACTCTCGAGTTTTTCGTATATATAAATGACGAGGAAGATAAGAATGAAGATACGTTTAAATTTACTGCCACATACAAATATTCAGAAGCGTAATTATGCATTCATTTTAGTCTCATTAGCCTAAATCTGTTTAGCGTTGGAAAAAGACATTAGCTATTATAAATCTGACCAGAATATGAGTTCTGGGTTTTTTGTGCTATTTGTTTTCCTCTACCTATATTCTTAGAAATCCAATTTATTCAAAAGGTCGTAAATTTTATGTATAAAGTAATCATTCATGTGTATATTATATTTATTGTATAGAGTAACATATTATTTTTAATATTTTGACATACTGTGATATTTCCTGTGCCTCATTATGTAGATATTTTAGTCAATGTTTAGTTGTTAAGTGTAATGAGTTGGCCCGCATAATTTTTAAAAACATATAACTGATAAGCAGTCTCAGTTATTTTTTACTTTATTGCAAAACTTAATCAGATAACCTACCTTACAAAATATTTAAGAGAAACTGTAATGTCTGTCTAAATAAGTGAATCTCCCCTCACCAGATGCTCATTATAATTCTTCATTTCACTTTATATGTCTTCTAATGAGTTACCGGTCGCCTGTCCAACCTCTTGGGTTTTCTCCGGGGCCTCCGGTTTCCTCCCACTGCTAAAGACCCCTACACGCAAGCGAATTATATAAATAAAATTTAACCATATGTTAGTCCCGAAATGACCTAGTTTGTGTCGAGTGGACGTTAAACCCCATTTCTCTCTCTCTCTCTCTCTCTCTCTAATGAGTTACATCAAAGAATTTATTTACTAAATTTGGGGACTGATTTCTTGAATATCAAAATGTTTTGACCCATTCTTGTTTATGTAATATCTAATTTCTTCATATATTGTATTTTCCTGTGAAAGATTTTATTGTCTATATCTTGGGAATCATTTGACATTTGTTTATTATCAAGAAGTTGACATCCGTCCTAATCCCAGAATCGATGCATATCTGTTTATTACTGTTTCATTGTTTATGTCCATCTTGATAAACTTAATAATTCTTGATGATACCGTCCCATAAACTTAATAATTCTTTTAATGTTTTATTTGAAATCCATTTATATTTGTATGTGTAGATAAATATTGTTATATTTCTTGTAATATAATAATTAGCATAATTTATATTTAACATTGCTATTATTCTGTAGTTCAGAAATAAAATTGTAATATCATTTAGTGACTGTGTGTGCCTCTGTTCATATAGTGATAGGGCTGGGGTAGTCAAACAGTGTCTTATAGTGGTTGCAGGTTGATTGTTTTTTTTTTCAGACTAAGACAACATAGTACTATATAAGGTTGGAAAAACATTTAGTGTTTATATGTCTCTGTTCATATAGTGATACGGCTGGGGTAGTCCTTAAAATCAAACAGTGTCTTATAGTGGTTTCCAGTTGTGCCTTACCGGAAGTCTGACAGAAATAATTTTGGAGTTAATTAGGTGTCCTGGAAAACCACTAATCTATTTTCTAATGGATGGACATAGAAAGCTGAAAATATTAGTGCTTCATTCAGATATCTCGACAACACTTACACAATTAATCTTTGGTATTTTTTATTGTTGCTTTATGCTATATAAAGCTTCCAATTATTCAAACCAATGTGGTGTATAATCAAATAACAAACAGGGATGATGATTTTAATATCGGTTTTAATATTTCAATTGCACAAAAAATGTATTGGCTGGTAGAATAAATGAGCAAATTAACAAACATTGGTGTATGAATTATAATTCAATTGTTAATGATTCACTGATGCCTTAATACCACCAAAATTAGTAATCTTGTCCAAAGATTTAATTATTGAACTGGAAATAACACCGGTAACAGTTCTAATGGAATACAATTACTGTTTATTACATCGGTAAGTATTCAAACAAGTTTCGTGTTTGACGCGTCAGCTATGGTGCTGAAAGATGGTAGTTTCTGAAAATTCATTTATGGCCCTAGCAAATTATAACTAGGGTGGGAAATAACCACAGATTAAAGAGGATTTTTGTTTTCTCTGTTTAAATTATGTATTACGTCAATCAAAAGAAGAAAATTCGCAAGTGACAATATCTTACAATATTTTTCAAGTTTTTGCATATATTATAATAATATACAGAAAAAGTGTGTATAAGCCGAAAATTATATTTCATTATCTTTATATACATACCTAAACAATGAATAATATAAATAATTCAAAGATAAATAATACATTCTATAACAATGTGAAAAAGTACTCGATAACTTTCATCAAATTGAACGGTCATTTAGGTACTTCGGTATGACCTCAGCTGGTTTTTGATAATATATGATATTGACGTTTCAACTCTGTATAAACTTCTGTTAAGGCACGGACTGGCTATGATCTAATTAAACATGTAATTAATCCCATATGTCATTTGCAAACTACATATGATCTGTGTACAAGATCCACATGACTTCAAAAGAATATGCACTGGTCAGTAAGCTCACCATGACGAGATAAAAAGACAATTGCATGTATGATCATGTGTCTTATCTATTCTCCGGTGCTATATATACTGGAGTTTACTGACAGTTAGGCAGACGACTAGAAATGAGCGGAGACGGAGAGACAGGCGTATGAACAATTCTTAAAGTAGCTAAGTCTCTAAAGGCCCGGTCCCACTGCACTTACGGATGCAAAGAGGATGTAAAACGGGGGAAAAACGTGCCCTCCGTTTGAAAACGCCATGCATCCGTTGTGTACTCATTGCATACGTGTTTCATACGCTCTATCCATCGAGCATCCGTTCACTTTGAATTCATCCGCGCTAAAAGTTTTGAGCTGCACAAAACTTTTATAACGGATGAACTTTCTGCCGTGTACGATGTAAATGCGCGACATATACGAGCACCAAACGTTCCATGTCCGTTATCACCCGTTTAACGTCCAATGTATCCTCTCTGCATCCTCTGGGCATCCTCGCAACTCACACCCGCTCCAGCTGAAAACTGAAAGAGGGAGGAAAGATAAGGTACAGGGAACGTCTATACATCGTTAGTAGCACGGAAATAGAAAGGATGTAAGCGTATGCATCTCGTATATAAAGTATTCAAAACGGACAAAGCGTTTGTATCTGGGATGTATCTGGTATATTGAAGGATGTCTGGAGTTTGCCTAACCCCTTCGGAGCTGTCATCCACTTCCATCCGCTTCCGATGAACATCCATTTAACATCCCCGCTACATACTTCCCACGTTCGTTCTTTTCCGTTCTGTTTTCGCAAATTTATGTCAATTTTGTCCATTTCTGGAGCGGATGAAAACGGATGGAGCCACCCCCGAAAGTTTGCTCGTCCGCTGTGTCCTTTTTGCATACGTTTTGTGGGACCGGCCCTTACCTCAATATCATCCGAAGTCTTACACGTTGAACATACGAATTATTTGTCAATTCAAATCAACATTGATGTTGTGATCTTACCAGGAAAAGGTAAGCTTCTTATATCCAATATTTAAGACAAAATAAACAGTTTACCATTGGTACACGAATCGTGTACCATAGTGGGTTTCAACGTCATTTGTAACAAGTGACCAGAAAGAACAAGGCTAAACATATTGCACAACTCATGTCAAACGGTGACGCCATATTTTATCTGGAGAGCATGCGCAATAGGCTGGAATAACCAGACGCTAGAAATTGCTATTCGGTTGAGACCCATGCCGTATTTCGCTGGACATAACTGATTTGAAATTAGGGTCAAAAAGGAAACAATTGAATGTAAATCAGTTTATATACAATCAGATTACATTATTATATGCGTTGCGACCCATTTGGGTCAATTTCTAGGTCCCAAATATTAGCGATTTAGCTCCTTTAATGTGACACATTTCATTCAACGTTTTAACTTTGTCACTAGGAGACCCTATAAAAATATTAATAGTAATAATAATTTATTAACTCTGTACAGCGCCAAAATCCAGCTTTTGAAGCTGCTCTGTAAGGCTTGTGCAAAATAAATATCTGATCATAAACACATTGTATAAAAATAAAGCATACACACTGAGACAAGTTAAGTAGGCTATTATGAAAAACAGCACAATACAGATATAACATAATTTTTAAAAATATTTGGCAAAACAAAATTGGATTGAGAACTGGTCCTTGTTTTAAAGTAGATATCGTGCTACAGTTTTTGTGCTACCACCGAGAAGAGGGTTGATTAAGAAGTGTTTTACTTTTTGGCATGTCAGGTGAAGATATGGAGAACGCAGTAGGGGTTGAGTTGTATAATTATTAAGAAAGTCTTTGAGATATACAGGCGATTCAAAAACAAAATACAGTTTTGAAAATACCACAGGGGTTCCTTTCCCCATGTACCTATAGTCGATTCAGGGCGGTTGATTGACAGATATGTATAAGATACAAAATATACACTATCTATTTATAAACTTTCATTTTATAAAAACTTATTATTTTTTAATTAGTTAAAGATAGAAGCGGTGGTTGCACAACTTGGCTGATGAACACCCAACTGCAAGACGTTCTACACTTTATTTTTGAAGGAATAGGTGACAAGATTTGTATTGAATTAAGTAATGCTTTTAGATATTCATAGATTTGAGTAAGATATTCATAGATTTGAGTAAGATATTCATAGATTTGAGTAAGATAGACATAAATCCTCCAAATGATAACCATTAACACGATGATATTCCTGAAATCACCTTTTCACCAGGATATAAAAATAAAGGAAAATGTAACAAACTGATTTAACACAGAAAAATTACTGGCTATATATAGTTTAGAGGCTGGTTTCGAACGGGTTCAAAGGGGAAGGTACTCTTGGATTCTGGCTCAGATGATGGCTTGACATTTGGTTCACGTTTATCATGGACAAAATACATATATCCGTTGATCATTTCTGAAGAAATAATAATAATAACAAACATACATTTACATCTACTACGAGGGGTGATTGATAAGTAGTGAGTCTAACACAGAAAGAAGCAAGAAATTCAAATCAAATGTATTTATTTTGCAACATAGTCCCCCTTCAATGTAATACACTTCTGCCATCGGTGTTGCAGAGCCTTTATTCCAGTTCTGTAGAAGTCTTTGACTTGGGTGTGTAGAAAATCATCCACAGCGGCAATGACGTCATCGTCAGACGGGAAATGCCTACCGGAAAGACATTTCTTTAGAGCAGGAAACAGATAGAAGTCTGAGGGAGCTAAATCAGGAGAGTAGGCTGGATGCTGAAGAAGTTGAAAACCACAGTCATGGATTGCTGACATGACAACAGCTGATTTGTGCACTGGCCCATTGTCCTAGTGGAAAATCACACCCTTGGTCAGCTTTCCTCGTCTTTTGGTCTTAATTTCTTGCCTCAACTGCAAAGCTAGATTCTCTTCTGAAATGATGTGTCGTGAACGCTTTTGATGAGGCGTGCTGAAATCTTTGTCATTTCCAAAGTTTCAGTGATAATAGAATGAACTTTCTCCTGGCTAATACCAACTACCCCAGCTATAAATCGTTCAGTAACTCGCCGGTAATTCATTATCAGATCATGGATTTTTAGTACCATTTCAGGTGTTGACAGTTTTTGGTCGACCAGGGCGTGGTTCGTCTTCAATGCTGTCTCGACCTTGCTTGAATTCAGCTGACCACCTTTTAATTGTGACATATGAAGGAGCACCATCTCCTAATGTCTCAACCATATCATCATGTATGGCTTTCGGTGTTAGACCCTTTTTATGCAGATACTTAATCACAGCTCTCGCCTCAAAATGGTCCATTTTCTGATAACAGCAGACCCTACTTGATTGTTATGACCTGTCACAACCAAACAGTTTAACCGAATGTGATGAAAGTTTGTGACAGAGCCCGAGCAACATAATGGTGCATGTGCAAAACGTGGTATCATTGTGTTGCACGGTTTTCCAATCGGGGCTCACTACTTATCAATCACCCCTCGTATATAACATTAAATCTATATGTATCTCTTTGCATTTTTTAAAGCACAATAATTCGGACTAAAGATATTCGGAATTTTAGACAATACGCAATGGCCATCTAATGTTTAAATTACTTTCTTTTCGTTTCATGGTGTTACTTAGTTTTCTTAAAGATCACCTAAACGATAATTCGTAAATATCCACAAACAGCGAGGACAAAGGCATTCTTTATTTTGTTTTAATCGTTGAGCCACTCCACCGGTCATTCGTAGCTGAAATTTCACATTTGGATACGAGGTGATGGGAGTCGATACGTTCTGGTCACGACTAGTCAATTTCGAGTGTCACGAGCTGTCACTGACCGTGGACTTCTTGGTTTCATATACGTCTACGTAGATTGCAGTGCATTTTAATGCTAGGTTCCCACTGCCGTGCGATGTTTAACGACAGGATTGTCCCTATAGAGTCCACGATCTGATACGTGCAGAGACGTTTGGACACCTTTCGATACGATCAACACGATTGCCACGACTGACAGGATCACCACGATTACTCCACGAATAAAACCACGATTTCAATCGTAGCGGCAATCATGGTTGTGGGAACCTAGCATAACAGAGCGTGGTGTTTGTATTGTCCAAGGCTGATTCAGATTACCACGATTTGGAAGAACGATTAGATACGACCTGTAGCGATGATCGCGATTGACAATTAATCGTATAAAAGTTTTGAACCCGCCAAAACTTTTACGATCAACACGATAGTTACGACTGACCTCAAGATACGATAAGACCTGTCAGAATTACCACGACTACTCCCCGATTAAAACCACGATTTCAATCGTAGTTCGAAATACGATAAGATACGATAAGACATGTCAGAATCACTACGACTACTCCCCGATTAAAACCACGATTTCAATCCTACTTCGTAATTTGTGGGATCCATACGGAAACTTACACGAGCGTTGACACGCTAACCCGGAGGCCCCATGCTCTATCCTTGTGTTGACCGGCTTGGTTTCCCCCTGTAAGTGTCACAGAACGGAGGGCGCATGCAACAACGTATAGTCGTTCGAATGGGACAAAAAAACGAGGTTCCTATGCAAACATGGGCGTGCAGCTAAAGGGACCATTGTCACATGGAATTCGGCATAGGAGTATGAAAGGGTGCTTAATTTCAAACGAAAAGTCGCGGAACGATGGAAATTGATGCTTTACGGCAAAGGGGGGATGGCTCCAGACCGGAGAATGGCAGAAAATCAATAGGGTTCGTCCCCTCTTGACCACAATGCCTCACACCAAATTTGAAAATAATCCATCGACAATTATAGCCTTTATCACATTCACAATATTTTCGGAAAAGGTGCATAACTGCTGCGTTCACAAGCTAATTGATGACCAGCGGACCGGAAATACGTCCACACTGAAATGTTGGCGTATTGGCGTATATAGACGCACGAGTGGGTTGGGGGGGCGGGGGAATTAAATGCTCTGACAACGCGATTTGTAGCTTTCAACAGATTTTGAATAATGCCATTTCATAAGTACCAGTTAATCATACCTGTCTCACTGGAAAAACTGGAAATATGCTCAGCAGCTTGCATTCGACGTAGCCTTCGTTTGCAACAGAAGTAAGTTAGTAGCATGGTGATTCCTACTATAAAGTAACCTCCCACAAAGCAACCAATATATATTGCCTCAGCATTCTCTCATCTGGGAATAATGGAAGATAAAACAACATAAGAGAGAGAGAGGGGGGGGGGCAGAGGTATGTGTGTGTGTGTGTGTGTGGGGGGGGGGGGGTAACGTCCACTCGACACACACTGGGACGTTTCGGGACTAACATATCTTTCAATTTTATTTAAATAATTCGCTTGCGCGTAGAGGACTTTAGTAGTGGGAGGAAACCGGAGAAAACCCACGAGGTTGGACAAGCGACCCTACGCCTTGTCACGTACAAGCGGGGAATTAAAGCCACCCCACTTGACTTATTGACAGACATAATGATCCAACGCGCACGCGTTAACCACTCATCCAACCCCAAAAATTTGATTTTAAAAAATTAATGTGTGATTATAATATGTAGAAAATACATTTATAATGTGACGTCGGATAAAGGCTCACCCTTAAAATGCCCCGCGCAAATTAGTCAGTCCTTAGAAAATAATTTGACAATCGCTAATATAATTTTCGAACATTTATAAGCCCGTGGACGCTCTCAGTAACTGTGGGAGGGACAGACATAATGATCCAACGCGCACGCGTTAACCACCCTAAATTGGATTTTAAAAAATGAATGTGGGATTCTGCTATTTAGAAATATGACGTCGGATAAAGCCTCACCCTTAAAATGCTCCACGCAAATTATTCAGTCCCTAGAACATAATCTGACAATCGCTAAACAGATTCTAATTATTTTTCGAACATTTATAAGCACGTGAACGCTCTCGGTAACTGGGGGGAGGGAAGCATGTTTTTTTTTATTTGGTAACATATTTATACTTACGAACCACTAGGAGATCCGCGTCTGCCTGCACCACGACCACATACGTCTACAATATTTAAAATAAAATAGTTTTTGTACTTTATTACTTTCGTGGGTTATGTGTTGGACAGATTGTGGAATGTAAGCCCGATGTGTTTATCAGATAAATACAGGTCAAGACATTTAATAAATGATGAACACCTAACAAAAGTTTGAACCTTCTACCTCAAATAGAATCAGATGTATTTACTGTCACATACAGGCAGACGAGACAGGCGGACAAACCAATCAACTGGTACATAATTATCTTATATCTACTCCAAGAAGCAGAGTTACCGTGCACCAAAAGGTGTGACAGACAATAGTCGTTCGAATGGGGCGAAAAACGGAGGTCCCGTGTACACATTGACATGCACCTTTGAGAGTTGGAATTCAAAATAAGACGATGGGCAAGATATTGGCTCGCTAACAATGATGGCTCGGGTTCGCTCCCGGTGTTGGCCTGGCGCAGTTTTTCCCCTTGTCGATGGTGCAGAAATGAAATGAAATGGGATTTAACGTCCTACTGTTCTGCTCCTATACTGGGCTAATGAAGACGGGCATACGCCATACAGTGTGCTATGAGGGAAATTTTGCCCGGGCAGCGGCACTATCGCCTACTCTTATATCGAATTCCACCTGCCAAGGGATCTTTTACGTACATTCCAATGTATACACGGGACCTCGGTTTTTCGTCTCATCCGAGGGACTAGACAGCTGTCCTTGTCAGGCCCTCCGTTCTGCACCACTGACAAGGGGAAACCACGTCGGAAAATCCAGATGAAATGAAGTGAAATGGGGTTTAACGTCCTACTGTTTTGCTCCTATACTGGGCTAATGAAGACGGGCATACGCCATACAGTGTGCTATGAGGGAAATTTTGCCCGGGCAGCGGCACTATCGCCTACTCTTATATTGAATTCCAACTGCCAAGGGATCTTTTAAGTGCATTCCAATGTATACACAGGACCTCGGTTTTTCGTCTCATCCGAAGGACTAGACAGCTGTCCTTGTCAGGCCCTCCGTTCTGCACCACTGACAAGGGGAAACCACGTCGGAAAATCCCGATGAACTTTCTCGGCCAATGCAGGGATCGAACACCCGACCTCCAGGCTAGTGAGCCAGCGTCTTAACCACCTAGCCACCGTGGCTCCTTTCTCGTCCAATGCAGGGATCGAACACCCGACCTCCAGGCTAGCGAGCCAGCTCTTAACCACCTAGCCACCGTCGGTGGTGCAGGACTAAGGGGGTTTGACAAGGACAGTGTCTAATCGTTCGTATGGCACGAAAAATTGGGGTCCCGTATACACGTTAGTGTGCACGTAAAAGATCCCTTGACATTAAGAATTCGATATAAGAGTAGGGCGTTAAACCCGAATTCATTTCCGTCTTCATTTGCCCAGTCGGTGCAGAACAGGAGAACGTTAAACCTCAGTTTTATTCTGACAGGCTGCAAGGTAAAATTAAAAGTGTAAACCGTAGCAGGTTAAGCTAGAATACAGAAACTTGTTTTCTAAACAGCAATTTGATATTTGACATGCATTGCTCACCACTGTGTATTCAGTTTAGGACATGTTTTGTATATAATTCAATTTCAGTTTAAACTTACCCTATTTGGGGATTGTGGTTGAACAGGGCCCTCATTTACATAAGTGCGACAGGGGTCCCATGGGTGTCAATCCGGCATTGAGTGTTACGTCTAAAAGTAATACATTATAGGCAAAGAACATATTTATTGTGTGTGCTTAGGCCTACGTAACGTTTATACATACATTACAATCAGTTATGTCTAAATATGCAGGTAAAATTTTTTAAAAATGCGTCCAAAGTGCAAATTATGTAAGCTCATTTGAAGATAATGTTTAAAGTGGGTCAGATTAATGTTGACACAAGCTAAAGGTATATTACTAAATTTAAATAGCCGTATAGGTCTATCTAGATATCTAGTACAGAAATGAAATGAAATGAAATGGGGGTTAACGTCCTACTGTTCTGCATCGAACTCGGCTAATGAACCGCAGTTTATCGCCCTTTTTATCGCATTTTGGGGCAAGTCTGTTAGGGTAACCCACCGCACAAAATGTCTGGCAGTAGTCATTCATGATTCCTGTGGTGGAACTGAACAACTCCAAAACTGTTTTGGGTGGTACAGATTTCAGCTAATCTAGCCTAGTTGTGGTCTGAAAATTAGATAACTCTTGTCAGGGATACAAATGTCTGGCAATTAAATAACTCTGTCAGCGGTACCCCACCACTAGAAATGTCTGTCAGAGTTTACCCGAAGATGTACGGTACACCAATGTACGATTTTCATGTGGTGCACTTTTGAGCTAATCAAGCCTGGTTGGGGGCATGGCATTTTGAACGTGGAATACCACACCCACCACCAGATACCCGGCAGACTCAAATCTGATGATACCAGATATGCATGCATTAATACCATTTAAAATACAGATGTGACGTCATCCTTTGATGTTGGTGTACAATTATTTCCAATAATGTACGGACAACTTTCTAATCGTACATTATCTATACTAGATGAAATATTGGACTCGCGTGGCGTATTTCATTGAAAAGCGGGTACGGGATAGTGTCTGTATTTTAAGTTGTTTAATGGTCTCGAGCTTAAGACATTGCGTAATATATTGAAACAACACTCGGCTAACCAGGCGCGGATTAAAATCGGATAATTAGAGATTAACAATAAACTAAATTCATCATCAATCCTCACCTGTAAAGGGAGCATTCCCCATCAACATTTTAAGGACATTTTATGCGATTTTATTGGCGATTTTTAGACCTGTAATTTCGGAAATACGTCAGAATGCACCAAATTGAATCTAATTTACCAAATTTTTCTAGGGGAGAGCCACCAGACCCCCCGTTACAACGTTTAGCGCCTTCGGCGCTCGCGGCGATTGACTACGCCCACCGCAATTATCCAACCTAGACCCCCCCCCCCTGCAAAAAATCATGGATCCGCGCCTGCTAACGCCTCGTCCAGTATCAATATATTACTTAATGTCTCGCTCTCAACCATTAAACCATACTTAGGGGAAAACCGGTACACATTTTTAGGTAGGCTGATTCCATTGGGCTACCGCTCCGTATATTTAAATATGACTTACCTTCCACTAGAAGGACCGTAAGAAGAGCTGATACTCCAACAATCATTATCGTCAACACACCTGTTCACTATGATACTGAAGAATCTTATCATTTACATCATAGTCTTAAAGTATCAAATAAAGACCTCAACAGAAGTAAGCTATATAACACCTATATAGTTCTTGCTGATCAGTTATTCATACAAATTGAATACAAGGGTGTGGCCTTCACCTTTATAAATATTGAGCAATATTTGTTCATGACATGTGGAAAGATAAAAGAGCATTGTTTTTAGATCGTGTCCGGGGAAGAAAGAAAAACACTTAATTGCATGTTCTAGGGTGTTACTGGGATTGAAATCAAATGGGATTTAACGTTTTACTTTTAAATCTTTACCAATTAAGATAGTTGCAGTGTGCTATGAGGAACATTTTATCGGGATATCAATTTTCAACTGCCATGGGATCTTTATAACGTGCTGTCAGCGGGGTGAGCTGGTGACTCCAGTTTTTAATAGTATACCCGCCCCCCCCCCCCCCCGCCATTTGAATCAGCATTTAAACACTTGTCCGGGAGGGGTCATATTTTGGGGTCCTCCTTAAAAAAAAACATTGACTTATAGTGGTTGAACGTTGGTTGTTTTTATTTTTTTAGAATAAGACAACATAGGACTTACAATAAGGTAGCAGAAACATCAATCTGATTAAAACACAGAACCTATTTCGTTTCGTTTGTTATAGTTCAAAAGATTACGTTTTACTTGTCTAAACTTCATGTTGTGTAGGCCTGGCATCAAAAGTATAAAAAAAACGAAACGAAATGAAATATAGATCTGTATTTTAATCAGATTGCAGAAACATGTCGTGCATATGTGTCTATGTTCATATAGTGATGGGGCTTGGGTAGTTCTTAAAAACAAACGGTGTCTTATTGTGGTTGCTGCCAGTTTTATAGTACTATCAGTTGGAGACACATTTCTCTTTTGTGTGTATAGGTCCATTACCTTACCTGCGATTTGACTTTATTAAAAATAATTTTGGAGTTAATTAGGTGTCACGGAAAAGCACTAGTCTAATTTTTAATGGATAGACATGAAAAGTTTAAACGGATCAAAGCTAGGTAATCAGGAAATTAAACCAAAAAGCATAAGGATTAAGTCAAATCGAATTCAAAGAAAAGTCATAGTAGGAGTCGTCAATCCTTGCAATGGAATTGCCACATTCTGTTTGGTGCCGTGACAAGGATTTCAATCCAAGTGGAAAAAAACTATACCAGTTTCAAAGATAAATAATAAAATTTATAACATCCAGCTTTTAATGGTAATATATTTGAAATATTATTGCTTCATTCAGATATTTCGACAACATTTACACAATTAATCGTTGGTATTGTTTATTGTTGTTTTATGTTATATAAAACTTACAATTATTTAAACCCAATATTTGATTCCAATAGCAGTATATAATAATTCAATATCACGCTAATGTATAGGCTGGTAGAATAAATGCAGAATGAACAAATTAATAAACACTGGTAAATAAAATGTTTTAAATTATTATTAATGATACATAGATGTCATAATATCTGACAAAAATTAGGAATCTTGTCCAAAGGTTACATTGTTTCAATGGAATTTAATATTTTTACTAGAAATACATATGTCACAATACTAATGGAATACAATAATTAATGTTTATTACTGGGCGACCTTTCTGGCTATCATCTATATCGTAAGTATTTTAACAATTTTCAAGTTCGACGCGACAGCAATGACGCAGCTCGGAGATAGATAAAGGGAACCTACTATGCCTAGAGCAGATTTTTTCTGAAAATTCATTTATGGTCCTACCAAATTGTGACTAGTGTGGGAAATAACCACAGATTAAAGAGGATTTTTATGTTCTCTCTTCAAAATTATGTATCATGTCAGTCATAAGAAGAAAATTAGCAGATGGCAATATCTTGCATATAATCAAATACAGGAAAAGTGTATATAGCCGAAAATTATATTTCATTATCCTTATATTTAATATCTTATATTTAAACAATGAATAATATAACCCAGAACAATTCTTTTTCATATATAAAAAATACAATCTATAACAATTCTTATGCTATAATAAACACATGGTATCAAAAATAAAGCATAAACAGTAAAAAAAAAACTATAAAATTAAAAAAAACAACAACACAATACAGATAAAATATCAATTCTTTAAAAAATGTGACCTGTATGTGTTACGAAACGTCGTTATTAAATAATAGAGAAGTAGTTACATCCATATATACCTCGTGTTGTGTGTTCTTATGAATAGATAAAATATCATATTTTTTTATATACATGGCAAAAGTTAAATCAAAATATGAGGTAAAACAATGAGGTAAATGCATTGAAACGAGAACCGATCGGGTGGTACTTTTTACCGCCGACCACCGCCGACTACCGCCGACCAATACTTTTACCGCCGACTATCGTGACATTACCACCGACCAAATACTTTTTACTGCCGACCAAGCATATTAAAGACAATATAATATTTCACTTACAAAATAAAGTGGGACTTAATGTTAGTGAGCTATCCCAAATTGTAGATAAGTTCTTTGGAACTGAAGGAGTTGCGTGTGCAAACGACACGATAGACTTTGAAAGAAGAAAGCATGACATCTCGACCGTGTACGAAAAATACCCAGACCTACAAAAGTACCTTAAAACCGTGAAAGATAGAATAACAAAGTTCGTTTATATACCAAAGAGAAAAGGTGACGAAGTCAAATTATGGACAAATAACAACGCGGAATCCGCAAACCATATTTTTAAATGTGCCATTGACTGGAAACCCCAAAAGGCTCCAGAATTAATCGAGAAGCTGTATATGTGTGTGAATTTTCAATCAATAAATTTAAGATCTATCCTGTATTTTTCTGGAGATTATGAACTTTGTGGTCGCTATAAAGCATATTCTGTTTCTGAACAAAAGTGGCGCTGTTTCAGCGAAGAGCAAAAAGAAAAATGTTTTGCAAATTTTCTTAAAGACTCGAAAAGGAAGCGCGACGAAGAAGAAATTATTTGTTCAACAAACCAAAAATTTTGTGTAGTAAAGAAAGCAAAATTACCAGCCCAAAAACCCCATCAAACCAAAAGGTGTAGAAGTGTTCGCACTAATAGAAAATAGGCCTAAAATGTTATATATTTATAACCAGTAGCTGAAACAATCTTGATATATTTGCCCTTCAATATCTAAATTGTAGTTTTGTCCTTCCATATTCTTTAAAATAAATATGAATGTTTTTCGACAGTTGTACGTGATTACACCTCAAATAAAAAATAACATTCTTGTTGTATTCTTTTTTTATAAAAAAAAAACAACCGTAAAATAGTCGGCGGTAACAAGGAATCATTAAGCATCGGTGGTAACAAGTATTTGTTCGGCGGTAATTATATTACGGTCGAAAGTCATTATAATGCGGTCGGCGGTAAAAAATATTTGGTCGGCAGTAATTACACGACGGTCAGCGGTAAAAAGCATTTGGTCGGCGGTAGTCGGCGGTGGTTGGCGGTAGTCGGCGGTGGTCGGCGGTAAAAAGTACCACCGGAACCGATCCTTGTTTTTTAAAGCACATGTCGTTTCAAAGTTTTGGCACTGCAACCCAGAAAGAGGTTGGCCACGTAGTGTTTTACTGTTTGGCATGTAAAAATGAAGATGTGAGGGTTTTTAATTCTAAAGAAGGTCTTTGAGATATACAGGTGATTCTACGGTGATTTCTGTCCCCAACAGAATTTATATTGGTTAAAATGACTACAGGTATTTGGAAACCAGCAATGCTTTTAGATCTACATAGATTTGAGTAAGATATACGTAAATCTACCCACTGACAAAAACGACGACTACATTAACACAGTAAAATTCCTGAAATCATTTTTTCACCGGGATATAAAAATAAAGATATATGTAAAAAACTGATTTAACACTTTAAAAAAATACTGGCTATATATAACTTGATGGCTTGGTTGGAACGGGTTCAAGCCGGAAGGTACTCTTGGCATCTGAATCAAATGATAGGTCGACGTTTGGCTCATATTTATCATGGACAAAATACATATGCCCGTTAATCATTTCTGTAGAAATAATAATAAACATACATTTACATTTATATAGCATTAAATCTATATGTATCTCTTTGCATTTTTAAAGGCACAAGATTCCGGACAAAAAGACATTCGGACAATAAGCAGTTTTTCCAAAAAAGTAATGCATGTTGATGCAATAATTATTCGAATCGATCTGCTCAATGAGTAAGACCTTAGCTCATTAAAGTTCATCGGAATTTTCCAGCTTGGTTCCATCTTGTCACTGGTGCAGGCCGGGGGGTGGGGGTGGGGGGTGGGGGGGGGCAAAGGACAACGTATAGATGTTCGGATGGTACGTAAAACCGAGGTCTCTTGTACACATTGGCGTGAACGTAAATGATCCCTTGACAGTTGGAATTCAATATAAGAATAGTCCGTAGTGCCGCTGCCCGGCCAAAATTTCCCTCATAGCAAATCAGTAGGACGTTAAACCCTATTTCATTTCATTTATTCGAATCAACCAACCGCAACGGACGTTATGGCCGTCTAATGTTTAAATTACTTTCTATTATTTCAAGGTGTCACTTAGGTTTTTTTTAAGATCACCTGAACGATAATTCATAAATATCCACGGACACCAATGCCAAAGGTATTCTTCTTTCCTTTTTTTTTGTTTTGTTTTGACCGTCCAAATTACTACACAACATTGTTTATTCATTATTTTTATTGAATGTAAATAATCAAAAGAAACGTTGATGACCAGGGGGGGGGGGGGAACCCACATGCCCCAGTACTGACTAGGGGCCAACAGATTTTGAATATTGACATTTTGTAAGTACCATGATCATACCTGTATTCATACTATGTATCTTTCTGGTATTCTCAGCAGCATCCATTCGACGTAGCCATCGTTTGTAACAGAAGTAAAGTAGTAGTATGGTGATTATTGAAACAACCAAACCTCCTACGAGACAACCAATATATATTGCTACATCATGTTCTCCTCTGGGATCAATAAAATAAGACAAGTGAGACAGAGTGAGAAATCAATGGAGTTTAACGTGCACTTGGCACACACTGGGTGCTTGGTCATTTCGGGACTAACATATTGTTCAATTTTATTTCAGTAGATCTCTTTAGCTGTGGGAGGAACCAGAGGAAACCAACGAGGTTGGAAGGTGACCCTACACCTGGTTACGTACAAGCGTGAAATCGAAACCACGCCACCTGACTCAACGACAGACCTCGTGATCTAACACGCACGCGTTAACCCCCCCCCCCCCCTAGATTAATAAGATATTTATGTACACCATTATCAAGAATTGTTGATGACCAACATGTCAGTAATATTAGTAAAACTACAATCTCTGAAAGGAATGTCAGTCCCAACTAAACATAGATCAATTCTTACAAAGGTTAGGTGAATTGAAAATTAGTCAACATTTGGCATACTCTGCAAACGATATTCATGAGATCAACTGTAAATGCAATGCCACTATAAGTGACATTTTTCGAAAAATACCAAACTAACATCTGTCACCAATTTTGGTTATGTATTATATTGACGAGTGTAAGAGGGCTTTAAATTAATCAGTATTAGAGACTTGTAATATGATGTCGGATAAAGAAAAGATAACGCCCCACACCAAAAAATGCCACGCGCAATTATTGACCCCTTAGAACATAATTTGACAATCGCCAAACAGATTTTAATTATATTTCCAAGCTTCAAATATTTGTAAGCACGTAGACGCTCTCAGTTGCTCGAGGATTGGCCTGTGGGTTTTTTTTTATATGTGGTAACATATTTCATACTTACGAACCACTAGATCCGCGGTAACCTCTACGACCACATACGTCTACAATATTTAAAATGAAATAATTGTTATTCTTTATTACTTTCGTGATTGGCATTGAACAGATATACCAAGTGATTTGATTGACGTACACAAACAATATTCTTTTTTTGAAAGTGAACTTTATGCTAGATCTCATCAGTAGAATACAACAATTTTCTGTTGGTTTGCTATCCTCCAAAGATCAAATTGTTTATCTCTATTGGCCCACAACTCTTATAAGAGCTGTCTCCCTTGGTTACATTTACCTACAGACTATCCAATATACAGTATTATAATCTTAGTAAATAACGACTTGTATACAAATATGACTTACTTTCCACTAGAAGGACCGTAAGAAGAACAGATACTTCAGCAATCATTATTTTTCAACACACCTGTTCACTGATTATTTACATCATAATCGTTACGTCAGTATTAAAGATTTAAATAAAGACCTCGACAGAAGTAAACTATACAACACCTGTACAATTCTAAATGACGTGATTCAGACCGATTGAAGACAAAGGTGTGACCTTCACCTTTACAAGTATCGGCCAATATTTATATATATGACGTGTAAAAAGATAAAAAATAAAACCATTGATTTTAGATCGTGTCCGGACAGAACAAAAAAACTCCAACTTATTATGAAATGGGGTTTAACGTCTTACTTTTAAAACTCTGCCATCCGGGATAATCAAGATAGACACACACTAGGTCATTTCGAGACTAAGATATGTTGGGTTTTTTTCAATAATTCGCTTGCGTCTAGTGGTCTTTTTAGCATTGGGAGGAAACCAGATAAAACCCATGAGATTGGACAGGCGACTCCTTGTCACATACACGTACGCGGAAAATTGAAACCACGCCACTCGACTCAATGACGGATCGTATGATAGCCTACAACGCGCAGTTGATTCTAACTTATGTGTTAATTATAATATTCTCCATGCTTTCTCTTTCGTAAATAAAGATACGGATATGTGCCTACTTAAACATACATTATGCAAGAGCTGCAAGAGCTAATTAAATCTGCCTATTGCAGGTCTTTCCTTAGAACTGAAATGTTATCTAAATTATTAGACATTAATGAACTTATTCAGACCATAATCAACTCTGGATGTCAACGGCTATATTATAGCCAGCGATATTTATTGGATTAGGATCCGATTTGCTGCTCAACTTTCATTCATGATTTAATCGAGACTGTGGATCAATTTCACTGAAGATCTCGGTTCAAAGTGGATCAATTTCACTGAAAATTTCAGTAAATTGCCTTTACATTATCTAGTTTTTTACTATTATAGTGAGAACTGCCAGCTCTTTATCCAATCTCCCATAATGTATCTTTAATAAAACGGTATCACGTGAACATGAAAATAGTATAAGACAAAATAATAAAAATTCATTTCAACTAAAAAATGAAGCAGATATAATGGCATCAAGTCCTTTGTCATGAGTCCTCATCAAGTAACTTGAAGAAAATGCAGAGATGGTGACTATACAGTATTTAATAGAAGATATTTCCCCTAGAACCAAGTTGTTCTGATGATCGAGAGGGGTCATATTTTGGGGATCACCCAAATTGTTTGGGAGAGCTAGGTCAGATATTTCAGATTATAACGAGCTGTGAAAGAGTTTGGGACTGCTCAATTGCTCTGGTAGAGTTCAGATATTTTGGACTCAATTGTTCCGATGCTCAAGCATGCAGTAATAGAAATGAATGTGTCAGTTCCAATAACACTATTAGATGTGGTGCAACACCAATGACATTGTAGAAGGATAAATGCATTTCTTAATGTACCTGCATGCACCATATTAATATTTCGCTTGTATTATTAAGTTCCTGCAAATTGGTCATCTGAGTTACTTGTCTCTTCAATGAGAGGACACTGGCTCACTAATCAGAAGGTCTCTGGTTTACTCCCGGTTTTAGCCGAGTAATTTCCTCAGTGGTGTCCACTTGTTAGCGATGCAGGAGGGCCTGACAAGGAACAGTGTCTAGTCCTTCATTATGAGAAACAACCCGGGTCCTGTGTGCACAATAACATGCTCGTAAAACAACTCTTGACAGTCAGAATTCGAAATAAGAGTAGGCTGTAGTGTAGTGCCACAGTCTGGGCAAAATGTGCCTCACAGCACACTGTAGTCGGTGCAGAAAAGTATGTTAAAGATACATTATGGGAGATAAGATAACGAGATGGCAGTTCTCGCTATAATAGTTAAAAACTAGATAGTGTAAAGGTAATTTGCTGAAAATTTCAGTCAAATTGATCCACTATGAGCCGAGAAAGAAGCGGTTGAAATTTTGGCATAGTCTTGGTCATCATTACTAAAATCATTAATATAAACAGCTTTGTCTCGATTATCCACTTTTATTGATTTAATTATCAACGGCCGTCAGCGGCATATAGGAATCTAATCCAGCCAACATTGAAGGCTAGCCTTGACATCGAGAGTTTATTATGGTCTGGATAAGTTAATTAATGTCTAATTGATAATTTACATAACATTTCAGGCCTAAAGAAAGACTTGTAATAAGCAGATTTTGCTCTTGCATAATGCATGTTTAAACCCCATTTCATTTCTTTAATTCATTTCATTTCAAGGAGTAAATCAATATTGAACATTTCATTTAAACATTGCATGGGTAACTTCTATAATGTTTATTATAAGCAGTACAATAATGTACATATACATTATATCACAATTTAACAAATACATATTACATACAAATATATCTATATACATAACAATAAGTAATAACTATATATCACATTCTGTAGATTGTATATAAAAACATTACACATTAACAATAACAGCAGTTTATTTTTATCATTATTTAAATCAGGAACGACACTTCTCATCTTTAATAAATTATAAAATATTTTTAAAGTCTAAAAATCAGCAGTAATTGTTTTCAGCAGAATAGTCAAATAATATGTTGCATCATTTTTAATTATTTAAAACATACTGAAATCACAGACATCACAAAAATGAGAAAAAGATCTAAAAACTAAAAAAAAAAATGCATCACAAATGATGTAAGTTGTAACCATGAACACTAGCCAGAACTTCCCTATGGTACATACAGATTCAGTATAACTTCACGGTCTGCAATGCTGTGAAGTATTGATGAATAACATAAGTGTCTCATTATGAGTGTAAAGCCCCAGTGTACAGTGAATAACACTAATTAGTAGGGGTCGAAAATCATTAGTAAAATTCAAAATAAATTAGTCCAATACACTCTCTTGTCTAATAGACGGCTTAAACATGACGTAAACACACAACACAGTACACAATTGTCTGATTAATGTCTGTCGTAAACACTGAAAAGTCATTTTTAGTCAATTTTTACATTTTCTTGCTGTCTTTTTTCTGTTGTTTTTGTGCCTTTTCTCGTGCATTAGATAAATCATATTTATCTATATCTTTTTTGGCAGCCGATTCTCTCTTGTGAACGGTTTTCATGACTTTATTTTGGAGTTCCATTCTTGTAAATGGCCGAGTTTCTTCATCACTTCCTTCACTACCATCACTTTCATATTCATCACTGAAATCAATAAACAATTTTTGTTCAGTATACATTTGGAGAAATGTTACAATTTTTATCGATTTGTTGTACAAAGCTACATTTCGATGTTTTGGGAATTTTAAATGTATAAGTTCTGTAATAGTTCTAACACTCAAGAAGAACTATCCATAAAAGGTGCAGACAGTTGGAAATATTATACTAGGCTGTTACACCACTTTCAGGGCAAATTTCCCTAATAGGACACTGCATGGTGTAAACCCCCCTTCATTAGCCCAATGTGCACTGGAACTATAAATATGTCTGAAATGATAAATAGGAACCGTCACATGCTAAATGACTGCTAAGAAAGATGTGTCTGTCATTTAAAACATGGACCTCCTAGTAACCCCCATGTTTTAATTTTACATACCGGTATATTAAACCTCGCATAAGTCGCATTCGTACAAGTCGGATCTTTGCTCAACTCGGATAAAATCATTTGGACCCTTTGATCCTGCACGCTTTTCTAATTAAATTTCTGTGCGCAAGTCGGATTCCCTAAGTCGGATCTTTGCTCAACTCGGATTAAAATGCTCGGTCCATTTGAACTAATTCAGACTTTTTTCCTTCGCTCAAGTCGGATCGACAGTATGTTCAGAATTTGACTAAGTCAGTTTCGTCCTGATGGTCAAAAACACAGTTAGGTATTCCATACACAGAGCACCAAAATACTTTCCCCTATGATTTTGATTTAAATCAGCTTATTTGACACGACACAATAATAGAATTCTCCCAGAAAATTCGAAACTTGCTGTCTGCTGTACAAGAAAATTTAGGACATTTTTCAAAGATGGCGACAAAATGGAAGTTATCTACTCGCACCAAAACGGAAGTTGTCCACTCGCATATACGAACAAAAGCTTGAAATGTGCCTTTGAATCAATTATTATCCAACTCTTGCGGTTTATTTCTAATCGAGCTAAGATTGAATTTCGGTCTTCGGCTAACTCGGATCTTCGCTTAACTCGGATCCGACTTATGCGAGTTTACTGTACTATACTATGTGAGAATCTCAAGTGTATAACTTACCCTACAGCAGGTGGTTGTATAGGATGTAATGTTGTTGGTGCTGCTGGTCCTAAACCTAACAAACCTGGTGCCTTTGGGTCATATTTCTCATGATCCTAGAAAAAAAATACAACATTTGTAATATGACGACAATATTACTTGCTTAATCTAAACCCTGGCTGGATATTCCATCCTGTGTTCTTAAATACAACAACAATTTCTTTCCTCTATTATAATCATTCATGCTGTATTTCGGTAGAGGTAAACTATATGTAAGGGGAAACAAAAGCATCACACCAGGGGTGATGTGATCGCTGATGTTGCATAAGAACAAGATCCTGTGAGCACAAAACCCCAATATCTGTAGAGATGAGTGAGATGGGGGTCCACCGAGATATTTTGGATTGTGTTGAACATGTTAGAATTGATTTTACTCAGTCACGGTGACAGAGTTGACCAAGGCTCATTGTGTCCTCTTCATATAGCCTATGTCGTAAACAGTATCTGCTGTATCATAAGAACGGGGGGCACCGCTCATAATAAAAGGCTTTAAATTATATAACATTTAGCTTAACTAAAAATACGAGAGAACATACCTTAGTATTAACATAGGCTCTGACTGCCAGTAATTCATTTGTACGTTGTTCTATAATGCCGAGATATTGTAACATGTTACTGTCAGTTACACCAGTAGCAGCTCCTAACATCTCATCAATAGCTGACCTATCACAATTAATTTTACTAAACAACGAATCAATGCCTGTAATACAAAATGAATCATAATTAAACAATGTCAACACTATAGCACCATTTTTTTTCCTTCTAAATACAAAAGTAGGTTGCTACAAATTGATTTAGCTATGTGAACTCCCCAAATCGGAAATGGTATTGGGTGTTCTAGAAAGAGCAAAACCATCCACCATCACTACCCGAGCTAAACAAAATCGAAATATCAATGGTAGGTATAATCTCCTTGCTTAGATTTAATCAGATTAAAAGGGAGACCAATCGAACGATTTTACCCAATACTTGTAGGTGGCTCTGGCCTGTTTATATCATCTGCAGGGGAGCATTTAATTCATCATATTCACTAACTGTATTTAAGGCTATTTATGGGTTAGAGAAATCCAGATGTAGTGACGTATACTCATCTTACCTGCTTTGAGTTGATCTAGGATCTTTGAAACTTCTTTAAGTTTTTGTTCATTAAAATCTGCTTCTTTAGAGGCCAGTAATTGTTTCTCTTCCAGAGTTTTAAGAATATATTTCCTTTGTGTCTCCATATCAATACCCTGAGCTTTAAATTTGTTAATATCATCGTGAATCTGGAGAAAAAAAAACATAATATATATTAATAATAACATGGAAATATATTAAACAATTTATATAAAATTCAAACAATTTATATTTAATAATCTAAAAAAACTGAACACAAAAGATTATAAATTAAAGAATGTGGTGGTTTGTAATGGTAGGCTATAGAAAAGATTTCAGGAACTCACGCAAACTACAAATGGTCTTGGGCAAGCAATACCATTTTTAAGTAACTAATATTCATTTTAAGAGTAAAGTCTTAAGATTAATTTTTTTTTGTTTGAAGTAAGACCCTTTTAATATTCTATCAATAAATTGATTACTTACACTTTGTATATCGTCATTCAACTTCTCAATCTCATTATTCTGTTCATTAACATAATTAAATAGAGCGAAATTCTTATCTTCAACTTCTATAAATCTATTAACAAGAAGATCGAGATTATCTTCTCCTGTCATCTGTTTTATTCTCAAGACGGCCGCATCATACGTTTCTACTGAATCTTCCTGGCTCTCTTTCTTCTTCTCAACCTCCAGGGCCTCTATAAATTACAAAATAAATTCTTTAAAAATATTTGTCTGCATTAGTTTCAACCAACCAAATTTTATTAGTCACCGTGTTTTCTTCTGCTATGGAAGATTGAGTGCCAAAGTGGGCTTTAGATCATAAGGTCTATCATCAATCAAAGTGTCATGGTTTCGACCCTACACCTCTGCATTTGACAAGGAGTGGGGTTGTCTGTCTAACCTTGTGGGCTATCGAAATAAAAAATATCAAAACCCAATAGGACCTACGTTGTATTAAATAGAAGTTAAACCCTTTATAAACATGATTGAAAACTCTAGTAAATGGCAAAATCTAACATCTCCCTGTGTCAAATAACTATGAATCTATGAACCTACCTTTACGTTGTCTCCATGCAACAAGTTGTGGATCTTCTTGTCTTTCTTGTCCTTTAATGCCCATAAATTCTTTCAGTTTACGATCGTGATCAATAATTCGGACCAATTCTTTCATCTCAGCATTATGTTGTTGCATATCTTTATCAGCCTTTTCTTTCAGTATAATCATTTTGGCTTGAGCATCATCTCTAAAATCATACAGTAAAAAAATATGTAATAAATTATTCCCTGACCTGATATATTAAAATCATATGTAAGAAAATTTTTCTCTGAAATCATATGTAAGAAAATTTTTCTCTGAAATCATACTGTAAATTAATATATAACAAATATATTTGCATTCAGTATATTAATTATTCCCTGAAATGTTATAAATTTTTTCTCTGAAATGTAATAAAATCATTCGAAAACCACTGTAAAATTTTGATGAACAAACAGCATTCATATTGTACTTGTTCTAAAGAGTAATAGCTTACCTAGCATCATAAGCTTGTGTAGATGATTCAATAATTTCTCCCATTTCTCGTCTCAGTTGTCTCAATTCTTTCTCTAACTTTTTATACAAGTTTTCAAATCTCTTATGTTCATGTCTTAAGCCCTCAATTTCATCTCGTAATTTAGCATTGTCAGTCAAAGCATGGTTAAACTTCTTCTTAGACTGGAAATAAATGTTAAGATTTAATAAAATTAAAAAAAAATATTTCAACCAAACTAATGAAATACATTTTAACGATCTTCTTTCATAGACTTCAGCAAATCAATACCGAAATGACAAATTTTCAAACAATGGTTCAGTTTTGGTTGAGAGTATACATTTAATTTAAATTGGACATTGAAAATCATTTTAGCAATTTTTGAATCAGGTTGTGGGGTTTCTAGCTGCTTTTAATATTTTTTTTAAAGTTTTTGACGATAATTACCTGATCGAGTCTTGTTTCTAATATTCTTGATGCTTTTTGTGTCTGCGTTGTATGTTGTGAACTCATGTGAACACCACCCATTTCTCTATGCTGAGCTCGAATTTTCTTTTCTGCATCACGAAGTTTAGCATCCAATTCTGCCTGCTTCTGTCTCTCCTCTTCTATACCACTCTCTAGATCCTCTGTAATATTTAAATTAATGATGTTCGTTTACTTTAAAATTATTAACTATCAGATTTTCATAAATTAGCATTTATAGGTCGACTACACATTCATCCAGTAAATATAAAGAATGTTTATAATTCTAAATATATGATTCTAAGAAGTCCTAATGAATAAAAGATTCATTTTGAATTTTTAAATTAAACTTAAAAATCAATTTAATAACAATTACATTGTAAAGTAGTGTTATGGATATTCTGTTCTCAGTTCCAAAAAGGATTCTTTAATTTATTCCATGACTTAGTGGTATTGTAAAATTAATATATATAGTTCATTGTTTTTACCTTTTGCTTCCACCAATGTCACCAACTGATCAGTATTTTCTTCATCACGAATCTCATTACTTCTGCTCTCAGCCAATCGTAATTCTTTTAACAACTCTTGTTTTTCTTTCTCTAACATCAGTTGTTCAGACCTGACAAAGGTAAATTATTAAATTTGTTATACTGTGTTATAAGAAAAATGTTTTAGCATCCCATTTCAAACAAAATTTCATTGCTTGAAAGAAATTTGCAAGTCTTAAAAAAATATTTATTTCTGATAATATTGCACATATACATTTCAAAAGCATGCGCTCATGAATTTGATAAGAGACAGTGCAGGTTATTATCCAACTTGTTATTTGGATTAAATACAAAATTTGAATGTGCGGAAGAAATTTGAAAGCCTCCACTAACATTAACAATTAATTCACTAGACATAACTACATGAAAAATTATAACAAAAAAAATACTTCAATTATAGTAGAAATAATCAGTAACCAGTAAGACTAGACTTATCATAATTATATTAAAATATAAACAGAAATATACAAGCAGTCATCTAAGTAATTAATTTAAGCTTACTTTTGTTTTCTAATCATATTCTGTGATTCTTCAGCATATGCTGCCCTGTCACCATCCATCAATCGATATTGTCTCTGTAGTTTGACAAGTTCGGCTTCAGCCAGACCCTCCATGTCGGCATCACTGACATCAGATCGAGCTGATCTTGGTCGCGGCATCTTTTCCTAATGAAAGAACATAAAACTAATTTTATTAATTTTTATTATTTGCACAAGGCTATAAAATAATCCCGGTTGTTCAACTCAAGTTGGTCGAGCAGAAAAGTGGAAGTTCCCATATTTTTATTTGCCTTCAATTCCCCAACCAAGACAGAGAGTATTTCTATCTTGATTGATATGTTGACCGAATGTCAACCATATTTACAAAAGAAAAATACTTACTGATTATTGTCTTCTTGCTGCGTATAAATGAAATGATACAACCAGAGAGTTGCAGATAATATATAAAAGACGGGCACCTTGGTGTTAGTTTGTTGTCACTACAGCGGAAGTATAATATTCGTAACCCCTGGAAACTACCAAGGGAAGCAACTACCCAAACGAAAGAGCTTTTGCCCAGTCCTTTTTTTTTTTTTTTTTTTGCTCGAGCAGGACTTACTCAAAGCCAAAGCCCAAAGTCACCCAAATTTTCACAATTTTTCAGGCTATATCATTTAACTAATTCGTTCCAGTTATTTTGGGTTAAAATTAAAGGCTTTTTGTGACAAAATCGGACTTTGAAGCTAGCTCGACAGTCAAATACAAGGGACATAACTCGTGTACAATTTTTACGGTCTGTACCACTATAATCTTTACTACGATATTGTTTACCAAGAAAAACTATCATTAGAAATAGCGAAAAAGACCATAAACTATTTTTTTTTCTGATAATATTGTATAATACATTTTCTATCTGCATTGGTTTACTAACGTAAAATGCGCATATAAAATAACTGATTTGATAATAAACATTATTATCCATGTGTGGATAGTGTACGGCATCACGGCACCCACCCTACCTCAGATGTATTAGCTGTTTTATCATTTATATTAGGTGATACACAGTGTTTTGTCCACTAAAAGACTTTGTAATTCCCAACATAACTATATTTATCTTTTATGATTTCATTGACTGAAAAAAATCAACAATCGACGTCATTCTTGATATTGTGAGCTTAGTCACCCAGTTAACATTGATGGTTAGATTTACGTAAAGTTTACGTCATTATGGTTAGATTTTGGTTAGCGTCCAATAATGGTAAAATTCTTTGGTTAAATTTACGTTACTTTTACGTCATAATGGTTATGGTTACTTTTACGTCAGAAAATGACGTAAATGTAACGTAAACTTTATGACGGATTACTAACCAATTTTTTTCCCTTTGAATACTTCTTGATTAAATAACATTACAAGTGTGTGCACATTCTAACAATTGATATATAGTCGGAATTCAGACATAATAATTATATATGTATTATTGGTTATAATTCTAACGTTAATCTAACGTAAATTTTACATCAGGTTTCTAACCGTTAGTTTATGGTTAGTTTTCTGACGTAAATCTAACGTTAGTTTTCTGACGTAAATCTAACGTTAGTTTTCTGACGTAAATCTAACGTTAGTTTTCTAACATAAATCTAACGTTAGTTTTCTAACATAAACCTGATATTAGTTGTAAAACGTAAAACAAATGTCAGTTTAATGTCATGATACTAACAATTAAGGGCCTGACAAGACAGCTGTCTAGTCATTAAAATGGGACAAAAATGGGTAAGACCCTGGCTCGCTAGCCTGGAGGTCGGGTGTTCGATCCCTGCATTGGCCGAGAAAGTTCATCCAGATTTCCGGCGTTTTTTCCCCTTGTCAGTGATGCAGGACGAAGAGCCTGACAAGGACAGCTGTCTAGTTGTTCAGATGGGATAAAAAAAAAAACGAGGTCCCGTGTACACATTGGCATGAATGTAAAAGATCCCTTGACAGTTGGAATTCGATATAAGAGTAGGCCGTAGTGCCACTGTCGGGGCAAAATTCCCCTCATAACACACTGTATGGTGTATGGCCATCTTCATTAGCCCAGTTCGGAGCAGAACAGTTGGACGTTAAACCCCATTTCATTTCATTACATTTTATATCCATTTCTAAGTGGGGGATCACGTCGCTAAGTGGGTAAGACGCTAGCTCGCTAGCCTGGAGGTCGGGTGTTCGATCCCTGCATTGGCCGAGAAAGTTCATCCAGATTTTCCAGCGTGGTTCTCCCTTGTCAGTGATGCAGGACAGAGGGGCTGACAAGGAAAGCTGTCTAGTCGTTCGGATGGGACGAAAAACCGAGGTCCCGTGTACACATTGGCGTGCACGTAAAAGATCCCTTGGCAGTTGGAATTCGATATAAGAGTAGGCCTTAGTGCCGCTGTCCGGGCAAAATTTCCCTCATAGCACACTGTATGGCGTATGCCTGTCTTCATTAGCCCAGGTTAGGAGCAGAAAAGTAGGACGTTAAACTCCATTTCATTTCATTTCATTTCATTTCTAAGTGCCCAAGAATAGAGATCTAGCTCCTTTAATAGTTGCGAACTGTAGGTGACACACAAAGAGAAAACGAATGAATGAATGATCTACTCTCATTTCAAATTCCAAATGTCAAGGGTTCTTTTACGTGCACACCCACGTGATGGACTAGACACTGTTTTTTTGAGGTCCTCTGTCCTACACCACTACTAACAAAGGGAACTTTCTCGACCAACATGGGGATCACGTTGGCTAAGTGAGTAAGACGCTGACTCGCTAGCCTGGAGGTCGGGTGTTCGATCCCTGCATTGGCTGAGAAAGTTCATCCAGATTTTCCTGCGTGTTTTCCCCTTGTCAGTGATACAGGACGGAGGGCCGGACAAGAACAGCTGTCTAGTCAGGGATGAAAAACTGAGGTCACGTGTACACACAGGAGTGCACATGAAAGATCCCTTGGTAGTTGGAACTTGATATAAGAGTAGGCCATAGCGCCGCTGCCTGGGCAAAATTTCCTTCATAGCATACTGTATGGCGTATGCTCGTCTTCATTAGCTCAGTTTAGGAGCAGAACAGTAGGACATTAAACCCGATTTCATTTCATTTTTCTCGACCAACACGGAAATTGAACCCCTCATTTGCTAGCCAGTGTGTTACTAATTACTAGAGAGAGAGAGAGAAATGGGGTTTAACGTCTACTCGACACAAACTAGGTCATTTCGGGACTAACATATAGTTTAATTTTTATTTACATAATTCGCTTGCGCGTAGGGGTCTTTAGCAGTGGGAGAAAACCGGAGGTTGGACAAGCGACCCTACTCCTTGTCACGTACAACCGGGGATTCGAAACCACGACAGTCAACTCAATGATAGACTTTATGATACAGCGCCCGCACGCTAACCATTCAGCCATCCAACCCCCCCCCCCATTACTAATTACTAAGTTTGTGAAATGTAGGTTTTTCCTCATGTAGATTTGTCCTGATGAAATCGGTTTATTGTCCTACTGTTCTGCTCCGACTGGGCTAATGAAGACAGGTACATACCATACAATGTGCTATGAGGGAAATTTTGCCCCAGCAGCGGCACTATGGCCTACTAATATCGAATCCAACTGCCAAGGAATCTTTTCGTGCAAGCCAATGTATACATGGTACCTCGGTTTTTTGTCCCATCTGAGTGACTAGACTACTGTCCTTGTTCCTGCACCTCTGACAAGGGGAAACCATGTCGGAAAATCCTGATGAACTTTCTCCACCAATGCAGGGATCGAACACGTGCTCTGGATTATCGAGCCAGCATCTTACGCACTTAGCCACCGTGGCTTTATCAAAATTAGTAATGAAGATGTGCTATGACAGAAATTTTGCCTGGACAGCAGCATTACCGCACTTACTAATGAAGATGTGCTAGGAAAGACATTTTGCCTGGAGAGCAGCATTTCCGCATATAGTCATTACCAATAGGTGCACTAATCCGTGCATTCACTAGTCCACTAGTCTGACTCTATAAAATACTATAAATATGAGTATTAAAGAAACCCAGTAGATATGGTGACTGATATCACCCTTCGTAAGGCGATAACCCAACATCACGGCATTTTAACCCGAAATCACAACATTTTAACCATTATAGCATATGCCCTTCTTCATTAGCCCACTTGGAATAAAATAGTAGGATGTTCAAACCCCATTTAAAATTCATTTTCATACTTTTCTGCACCAGTCGGACTATTGAAGATAGTCATACGCAATGCAGAGTGCTATGACGGAAATTTTCTATGGACTGTGGCAGGGCGGAGGATCTGGCAAGGGATAAGGTATAGTTGTTCGGGTCATACAAAAAATCAAGTCCTCATGTACATATTGGCATGCACGTAAAAGACACTCCGACAGTTGTAATTCAATATCAGAGTAGGCTATATAGTGCCGCTATCCGTGCAAAGTTTCCGTCATAGTACACTGTATATAGTGTATGCCTGTCTTCATTAGCTCACTCAGAGCTTAAATCAATGTGTGTTGTTAATGTCATTTAAAATGGCGGCTGTCTACATATACAATAGGCGTTTTTGTGAACCGATTAGATTAGACCGATTAGCTATTATACGCATTTGTGAACCAAGTTGATTATGCTAATCGTTACATTTGTGAGACGATTTAACTCAACTGATTAGGCAAATCGACCTAATCGTCCCAGGAGGTGTTTAGGCGATTAGATTTGACGTTTTCAAAATGGCGGAATGTTCGACATCGTAAGTAATTTTTAATGCTTATTGTTGTTTTTCTCCATAAAAAATGTTTTTTTAAAACGCATTTGATGTGTTTAAAGTAGCTAAGTCTCTAACTCAATATCATCCAAAATCTTCAACATTGAAAACACGATTTATTTGTCAAATTATATCAACATTCATGTTGTGATCTTAACGGGAAAAGATGGGCTTTTGATATCCAATATTTAAGACAAAATAAACATTTTACCATTGGTACACGAATCGTGTACCATAATGCGCTTCAGCCCTAGTTGTATCAAGAGACTCGAGGGACGAGGCTAGACACATTGCACCAAATCAAACGGCGTATGTAAACTGGAATAACCAGACGCTAGAAATTTGCACTCGCTTGAGACTGCTGGCTTATTTCGCCGAACATAACGGATTTGAAATTGGAGTAAAAACGGAAACCATTGAATGTAAATCAGTTTATATACATTCATACTACAGTATTATATGCATTGCGACCCACTTTTGTCAATTTCTAGGTCCCAAATGTTAGCGATTTAGCTCCTTTAATGTTAACTTTATAGTCCACAAGAATGTTAGATCACCTCTGGCTCTAAGCAATTTTAGGCCCTCTGGGTGCCAGCAGTGTCACTGTAATCTGTAGGTAACTTGGACTACACGTGAAACACACGCCCCCCTCGTCATGTTACCAGAGACAATTTTTTTTCTGATCGGTGTCCGTGGTGGCAGCCATCTTACCAAATCGTAATTATCAAATTTCACATTTGTGGACCATAGCTAATCAAATCGAAATCATACCAAATCGTACTAGCAAATCAAAACCTAATC